TTTCCTTGAAAAAGTATGGAGTTGAGGGTTTGGGGTTTATTGGACTAAGGTGCCCTGGGTGTCTGGGGCCCCCATCGGTGAAATCTTGGGAGTTTGGGTTGTATCAGGGCCTTAAAGCTGCCCGAGCAATAGTCCGAGCAATATATTAGTAGTAGAGTGATAGCTTTAGTAGTAGTCTTTGTAAATAACGATCTGAATAGTGCAATACAGTCGTAATTCAAAACATCATCAATTGGTCCAAGCCCCACGAGCCCGAAGCAAAAACCCCAACCTCTATCCCCCCGCCCCTCTTCTCCCCTCCGGCGCGCTGACAAGGATGAGGTTGGGTGACTTTCCGCTCCCTGCGGAGTCAGCCAGAGGCTGAAGAATGGGGAGGGCGGGAGTGAGGATGACCAAGCCCCAGGCCAACGCTAAACCCACTAGAGGTTTAGGGGACTTTAGGGTGGAGGTTTGGGGTTGAGGGCCTGGGCGCTTTAGACCATTTAGGGTTCAGGATCTCTTCTGTGGGGCTTCAGGCGCGCAGGCTTATGTGACCCCACCGGCCACGTGTGTGCCGGTTGCATCGGGCTCATTTGGCGCCCCGCTTTCTGCGGGCCCAAATTGCACAGGACACGGTGCAGCAAGCTTCTGAAAGCAATTGAAGACACATGAGGAGGTAGCAAGACCGACTTGTGAGACAGGTGAGGAGTGCAAGCAGCATGCGGATGCACGATCCGTGTAGGCATGCACGCTTGCATCCACTCATTCTACGCATCTCTACAGGGGACATGACATGTCAGCAAAGGAGCCAACTCGTCATGGGCACGAAAATGCATTAAGGCCGTGGCCGCAACAGCCTCCTCGGCCCTCAACGCAGCCGCTGCACTGCCAAAGCCCACTGCGGCTGGGAGCTCATTGCAGCTAGGGGGTGATCCACATCATGGGCTCTTTTCAGGGCTGAACATTCTAAAAGGTGTCATTCGGTCAGGGTCTACGGTCAGCATCATCATTGGTGTTCTTGTTCTCATGGTTGTCTTTTCCTGTCGTCCTTGAAATTCTCTTCTTGCGCCAAGGATGCAAAGGACAAGATGAAGCACGCAGGCGCGCATGCTTTATGCCGGAGTTCCGGATTTCTCCTGGCCCTGCACCTGCAACACAGGGACCTACATGTCTGTTTTGCAGGTTACTCTGCAAGTGCCCCCCGCCCCTCCCCGCTAGCCCCACGAACAGCCTAAACCCCTAGCCCCTAAAACCCCTCAGCCCGACACCCCAACCCGTAAACCCCTAAGCCCTACACAGCAAAACCCCTATAGCAGCCCCTTTACACCCACCGTGCCTACACCCCTGTACCCCTACACCGTGCCTACACCCCTACACCCCTACACCCCTGTAAGCCCCTAAACCCCTACACCCCTACACCCCTACAAGCCCCTAAACCCCTACACCCCTACAAGCCCCTACAAGCCCCTACAAGCCCACAAGCCCCTACACCCCTACACCCCGACACCACCAAGCTTGCAGGATGCGCTGCACAAGAGCCGCGGCCGGTGCCGGCCCTGAGCGAGTGGGAGGCACTTGGGGGGCGGTTTTTTTCGTTGACGGAAGGGCGGTTTAGGGTTTTGGGGTAGGGTTTAGGGTTTAGGGTTTAGGGTAAAAGGGTTTCCGGTCCGCTTCATCCGCACAATGTGTGGGAGAGGGCGCACATATTGCTGGTTCCTCAGAATCGCGGTTTTCGGGCCGGACGCCCTTTCACCTCATCGTCAAGTCAGCCGAAAACTTGCACGGAACGGAACATGAATCGCATCACCGGGAAAGCCCCGCAAGTCCACCCATCTAGGATTGTCCTTCAGGCTCCGAAGCCGTGACTGCGCCCCTCAATTTGCCCTCCCATATCCTGGGCAGCCAAAGCCGTCCCCCTCAATTCGGCTTCCCAAAGTCCCAAAGCCCACGGTATCAGCGCAAGCCAACCTGCACCTTTGAGTGTGGGCTTCGTGGCCAGGTCATGCTCAGGGTTTGGCAAACATTCATGGGGCTGGCGAAAAGATGTGCGGTTTTGTGGGCCAGTTCTCCAAATGATGGTCCCCAAAAAAATACCACATTGTAAGCCCCCCAATGTGACCCTCCTCCCCTGCCGGCCCCCCCGCCCCTCCCCCCCGCCCTCCTCCCCCCCCCTCCTCCCCCTCCCCCCTCCCCCCCCCCCCCCCCTCCCCCCCTCCCCCCTCCCCCCCCCCCTCCCGCTCCCCTCCCCCCCCCCCCCTCCCCCCCCTCCCCCCCCCCCCCCCTCCCCCCCCTCCCCCCCCTCCCCCCCCCCCCCCCCCCCCCCCCTCCCCCCCTCCCCCCCCTCCCCCCCTCCCCCCCCTCCCCCCCCCCCCCTCCCCCCCCTCCCCCTCCCTCCCCCCCCCTCCCCCCCTCCCCCCCTCCCCCCCCTCCCCCCCTCCCCCCCCTCCCCCCCCTCCCCCCTCCCCCCCCCCTCCCCTCCTCCCCCCCCTCCCCCCCCTCCCCCCCCCCCCTCCCCCCCTCCCCCCCCTCCCCCCCCCTCCCCCCCCTCCCCCCCCCCCCCCTCCCCCCCCTCCCCCCCCTCCCCCCTCCCTCCCCCCCCCCTCCCCCCCCCCTCCCCCCAAAAAAACAAAAAGGGGGGCAGAATTTCGAGAAGTGACCATAATCAGCTTTGCCCCTTGGGACACGATGGCTGTTGGCAGGCGGCTGTGCAGTGCAGCTTCTGCTCAAAGTGGAGGCCTGTCTGCTTCGAGCTTTCTGGCGCAGTTTGGGAGAGCCTTTGAACAGGAACAGGGATTTTGGATGAATTAGGGCAGATTCAGGGGTTCAGGGTTCAGGGGTTTAGGGTGAAGGGGCTTAGGAGGGCTCAGGGTTTGGAATTCCTGTGCTTGTAAAAACCACAAGTCCTTCCTGCATCTGGCCTGCGAAGCCAGCTTCCCGGCAGGCCGTGCAAAGCGGATGAAGCGCCAAAGCTCATGACCGTTCGGCCGGCGGAAGCTTGTAAACTCCCCACAGTAGACCTTGAAGCTTAGAAACTTTGCGAAACGCCTTGGTCAGGTTCAGGTTCTTGGAGGCTTAGGGGCATCGTCACTATTCCAGCTTAACCCAAGCAGCGCGATAGCCCTTATTTCGGGATTCGCCCGTAACAGCTAGTCGCCTGGGGTTTGGGGTTCCCGTCTATATGCTTTTGCCAGAAATTATTCCTCAGATGCCCTGCACCAAAATATGTAAATTCATACATATACCATACATATACCATGTATACATGTACAAGAAAATGTACAATATACATACCCTAACCCTACCCCCTAAACCCTGAACCCTAAACCCTGAACCCTGAACCCTAAACCCTGAACCCTAAACCCTAAATCCTAAACCCTAAGTGCCTCGTTGGGCACTCCGGGAACCTTGGTCCATGACAGGCAGACCAGGGCTTTGCTTGCAAGCTGGTCGGCTTCTCCTGCAACCAGGAGCAGAGGCGGCCTGGGGGCCTTTTGGTAGCTCAGGGTTTGGGGTTTAGGGGTTTCGGGTTTAGGGTTTTAGCGTTTTAGGGTTTTAGGGTTTTAGGGTTTTAGGGTTTTAGGGTTTTAGGGTTTTAGGGTTTTAGGGTTTTAGGGCTTTAGGGCTTTAGGGTGTTAGGGTTTTGGGGTTTTGGGGTTTTGGGGTTTTGGGGTTTTGGGGTTTTGGGGTTTTGGGGTTTTGGGGTTTTGGGGTTTTGGGGTTTTGGGGTTTTGGGGTTTTGGGGTTTTGGGGTTTTGGGTTTTTGGGTTTTTGGGTTTTGGGGTTTTGGGGTTTTAGGGTTTTAGGGTTTTAGGGTTTAGGGTTCCGGGAGCCTAAAACCATCATCGAATCATTGGGGTTCAGGGTTGACTTGAAGGTTCATGGGTACTTCTACTCGTACCCAGAGTAGGCCCTGCTTCCCTTTTTCAGGGTCTAGGTTCCCTTCTCAGCCCCTGTAAACCAAAAGGGACACCCTATTTATTCAGGTTACTCTTGGGTCTAGGGTTGTAAGTCCACAGAATCAGGCCACATAACCATAAATACTGACCCTACCTATAACCTTAGTTCTAAGTGCCCGTGAGCCTCCAAGTAGGGCTTCGCCCCGAACCGCGCAACCCCACGCCTGCAAAACCCGACTCCGCACCCCAAAGCCCTAAAGCCCCCAGAGCCTCCTATGTGGCGAGGTACACTTCGGAAGAGATCGACGCCATCTTCTGAGCCAACCAACCTGCCCGAGTAGCTACCCAAAGCGCCAAGCCCTTACGCACAGCCCTGATCGTAACAAGCGCAAGGGCTTCAACTTACCTCAACCCCCCTAAACTTCCTAAACTCTACGTTCCTGGACCCTAAACTCCTGAAGCCCTATAAACTCCACCCTGGGATCCCCAAGCTCCTTTGAGGGACCCTTCCTGGAGCATGCTCTTGAAGCCAAGCCAATGTTAACGCCTCAGCTGCGGTTGCCCTAAGACCCGCCACCCGCCTGGTGGATGGGCCGGTAACGGTATGCTATTTGGGGTTTGGGTGTCAGTGCTTCTAAAAGCAAGAGCATCAGGATTTAGGGCTGAGTATTGAGGGTTGGTTCTGGGGCTACGAGTTACAGCCTGCATGACACCCGAACACGATCACAAGCGACTGGACAGAGTCCGGCAAGCGAAGCGAGGGAAAGCCAAACAGATCCGATCGCGTTGGCCTTGTATGTAGTCAGTTGTGTGACTCTTCCTCAAAGCCTCAAAGCCCTGGTGTGATGCATGCACTCCGATGTATGCAAGCTTTCCCACGTCCAGATCGCAGCTCAAGCCTCTGAGAAGCGCACTGACTGTTCCTGATGGCGCGTGCAGCTCGTTCGACCCGTATCTTTCTGGGCCTACTCGTACTTGTAGGGTTGGCCTCCCAGCCTTTCACAACCTGCACAGGTGGCAGCCCAGGGCCCGGCAACACCCGGCCGACTCGTGGGCACAGGCCAGGACGCTTTGCCTCGCTCATCGAAAGGGCCGACAAAGACGCAGTTGCCCAAGCTGCAGCTGATGGACGCCCGGGGTGAGTTGGATTCCATTTTTGAATCGCTCCTGTCGCTGAACTTCGCCGACAGTGCACCAGTCCAAGGATTGAAAGAGCGCCAGCAGCGCTGGGTAGATGGGCAGCTGCGTGTGTTGCTTGTTGGTGATTTCAGCAGCGGTAAGTCGACCCTGCTGAACATCCTGGCGGGCCGCTTGATTGCCGACACCGGATGTCTGCCAACTACCATGGCCTTGCAGGAGATTACTTGTGGCGAGCAGAAGAACATCGTGCTGGTGGATAGCCCTGGGATCAATGCCGCCGAAGGTCAGAGGCCCCTCGGCGGGTCATCATGTAGATGGCCCCAAGTCACGAAAGCTCGCGTAGCGGAGCTGGAGTTTTATCTGCTTTCGCAGTAGGGGGCCGACCACTGACGCCGTCGCGTGTTGACCGCAGTGCGTGAGTCAGGCTCCCAGCACAACATGCGTCGCCGCCCACCAGTTTGATTGCAACGAGCTAGTTGATTGCACGAAGCTAGTATCTTCCCTGCGACGGCTGAAAAGAAGACTCTGACCCCTCAAGCCTCCAACAGGTCCCTGCCCACACTTTCTTATGCAACTTTGAACCTGCTTCCGGCCCCCGAGCTTTCGTCCTCCTTGCCTCCGGCCCTCAAGTCACTTGAAGTGCTGCCTGTAACATCGCAGTGAGTGTTATTGCAGTGGTTGGTTGGCTACCCCTTTCTACCGTGTGCTGTTGGAATTGCTGTCGCTGCTGCATCAGGTAGTAGAACTCGAAATGCTGTCGTTGTAGCACCAGGTGTCAATCATCATTGCAATTTGTCTCACGCATCACACATCATTCGTTTGTATCGCAGGCAGACGGAGCAGGTCCTCAATGAGGTGAGACTGAGTGACTACGTGATCTTTGTAATGAAGGCCACTGCGCCGGGAACCGCCTCTGAAGCAAAGCTGCGTGATCTGCTGAAGCATTACTCTACCCCAGGTATCCTCGTCTTGTCTTATTGGGATCAGGTGGATGATGATAGGCAGACAGAGGTCATGGCCTATGCGCAGGAGTTTGCGGCAGCTGCGTTTCCCGACAAAAAGACGCAGGTGTACTGCATCGATGGCAAGACGGCTGAGAAAGCCGTTCGTGCAGGTGTGCAGATTGACGAGCCCGGATGCCGCCACCTTCAGAGCTTCATCTCAGAGAAGCTTGCTGACAAGAATGTCCAGCTTGCGAAGCAGCTCGCAGGTTTCGCCTCCCAAGCAGCATGGGCCCTTGAAGCTCACCTGAAGCATTTACGGTCGCAGCGAAAGAATGCGACCGGCGAGCATGAGAAACACACAACAGAGCTCAAGCAAGAGGTGGACCGGATTTGTGAAGACCTCAAAGAGTCTCGCCAGCAACGGCAATGGCTGCAAGAAGAGGAGCGCGCAGCCCGCACAGAGGAGGAGATGAATTTGAAGGATGACGAGAAGCATCTGCGGGAGAAGGAAGAAAATGCTGACAAAGGCGGAGTGTTTGAAGGGGCGGTATCACGCGGATCTCAAGCGGCATCTGCAGGGGCTGCCATGGGTACTGTTATTCCTGCATTGGGGACGGCGGTGGGGGCAGTCGTGGGTGGCTTGACTGGTGCATTGGCTGGAGCATGGGAGGGCCAATTCGATCAGAAAGCTGCCCGCGAGCGCAGGGACTCTGAACGCCAGCGATATGAGGACAGAAGGAATCGTTACAAGAAGAGTGCAGAGAAGCGTCAAGAACGCTTAGATGACTTGCAGAGGAGAGAGGGCAAGAAGGCGGAAGACCTGAGTCATGTCCGGGAGCAGCAGCAACAGGCAAGGGACAAGCTGACAAACACGCTAGGCCCACTGACCAAGGATGAGAATTCGTCCAAGAAGGTGCTTCGTACAGTCCAGCAGTGGCAGGCAAAGTGGCACCCACTGCTGTGAGAGGTGGCATTTGTTAGTGCCATGGGCTTGGTAGGCCCAGGCAACGACTAGAGCCACCAGATCATCTGTATAATCCCGAGTGCCCACAAGTTTGCATCCCCTGTGTTGGGATGCTGGCAAGCGTATCTATGGTCAGTACAGGATTTGGTCCATCAGCACTTATCTCGCTACAGGTTTCCCTTATGTATGGCTTGGGGGTTTCGGGTTTAGGTTATTTGCTCCAAAACTCGTGATCCTGATTTTGGGGATGCCAGCCAAGGGCCTCATACTCCTTGAGACATACCCCTATGAACCCGGCAAGACAGGCGCACGCCAGGGCAAAAGGCTGATGACTCAAACTTTAGTCTTTTCTTCAGGGTTCCAGGCAGCACCTTTGATCTCGCTGGTCCACTGTTTTGCCACAGGGCAGGATCCCAAACATGTTTGGGATACTGTGCGGTGTGTTTTGCGTCCCGGCTTCGAAACGACCCCACACCGTCGTCACGTTGAATCCTGAAATCCCTATAAGCCTTAAACCTCAAACCCAGCCCTTGAACCCCAAACCTCAAATCCAAACCCTCCTTGACACATGATACCAGCTGACACGCTTCCATGCCAGACATGCAGGTGGGGTCTAGTTTGAGAAAGTTTCAGAGATACCCTTACCCTATTTTCATTTGGAAGATGAAGAAGCGAAGTCCATGCCCTCAAAGTGACAAAGTGCTGCAAGTGGAGGTGGTCCAAAGATCCCGCGGCAGCTCAGTATTTGTCCGCAGTCCTGCTGCTCAAGACACGGCTGCCATGCGCTATGCTGTCACGCTTGAGAACGGTGTTGTGGTCAAGCTGCCACCAGCAAGCAAAATCATCGAAGCCTCAAGCTACTTCACAAGCGGCCTCAATCTTGCTCAATCGGGCAGTTTTTCGCTAGGTTGTAGGCCAAGCCGGGGCAATTTGAAGCACCTACTTCGAAGAACTGCCATGGATGGCGACGCAGCCGATCCCCCAGCCGCCCCAGCCGAGGAGGTTGGCGTGCACGCGCGGCTTAGTGATTTCACCGCACCTGCAACCCCAAGTACGTTCCCCTCGATACATGCTACGGGTACCTGAGCGGATCCGGCTAGTGAGGTGTCATTTAGGGCTTTGAAGGTACTCGGGTGGTTCTGGGTACTCTGCTCGTACCCGACACTCTCCAGACTCCAAACGACTGTAGCAAAGGACATCGACCCTCTACCCTACAACCCTAACGCCCTAAACGTCAAAGCCCAAAGAAGCCCAGGAAATGAAAGCCCGAAACCAACCCCGCCTGACAAAGCCCGTATAAACCTCTAAGCCCCAAACCCCAAACCCCAAACCCCAAACCCCAAACCCCAAACCCCAAACCCCAAACCCCAAACCCCAAACCCTATACCCGACACCCTATACCCTATACCCTAAACCCTACACCCTACACCCTAAACCCGAAACCTTACCACTTCCTTGCCACGGAAGGCGGCCCAAGAGGTGGGGGAGGCGGCGGAGCAGGTCGAGGCCTCTTGGGATGGGTTGAGGGTTGAGGGCTTGGGTGCTTGGGGGTTTGGGGTTTTAGGGTTTAGGGTTTAGGGTTCAGGCTTCAGGGTTTATATGGGGGTTTAGGGTTTAGGGTTTAGGGTTCAGGGTTCAGGGTTTAGGGTTTGGGTTTTTGGGGTTTAGGGTTTGGGGTTTTTTGGTTTAGGGTGTAGGGTTTTGGGGGTTTACAAGTCTTGGCTGAAGGCTTTCGGGCTGGAGGTATTGGGGGCTTCGGGGTTGTAATGCTTTCGGGTCCAGGGTTCGAGGGCTGAGGGCTTTGGCCTATCGGAGGTTTGGAGTTGTTTTGTTGATGAAGGCTTTGGGGTTTTGGGGTCGAGTTGGGTTTAGGGTTCAGGGCTCAAGGTTATAGGGATCAAACAAGTTCAGGGCTGTGTTGTTTGAATAGGTTTAGATGGGTCAGCGATTTGGAAGGAGCGTTTTGTTTGTGGAGGCGTTGTAAGCCACTGTAAGCGCTGTGGCTCGCAGCCTCTCACTGGCCGACTCTACTTTAAGGTCCATGGGTACGTAAAAAGCAGGGTTATAAGTACCCCAAATCAGGCTGTAGCCAAAGTAACTTGTAAGCCTACTTGTATGTACCCCTGAACCTCCAAGTAGGGTTGAGGGTTTAGGGTGTGCAAGGTCCTCCCGCTTGAGTTGGTCAGCACCTAGCTTGACTGCCTGACGGGCGCAGCAATGTCAAAGAAACGGAGTAGCTCACATCTGTACTCGCCTTGGTATTGTTCGCATCCCTGGCCCGATTCAAGAGAGCCCCATCCTGCCGTACCCGAGACTGCGGATGGGAGGGTGGGGCAAAGTGAGTTAGGTTCAACGGTCCAAGCCCTGAACCCCCAAACCCCAAACCCCAAAATCTAAGCCCCTAATCCCCTAATCCCCCAAAACCACGAAACCCCCAAAGCCAAAACCCGGTCCCTCTCAAAGCATGGGCAGGCTCTTGGCAGCATCTCCAGGAGTTGGGGTGGGGGGGGGAGGGCGGGATCGGAAGGCAATTTGGGGAACAGGACTTGGGCATTGGGGTGGACAAAGTCAAGGTTTTGCGACTCGATATGCTGCAGCTCTGAAGGCTTAGACCCCAAACATTGAAGGTGAAGTGTCGCTGTCCACATCCGTCCCTCTTGGCCAGGACGGCGGAGGAGGCGAGCTTTGGGTGTTGGAGACGGTGTGAGTGTCTGGACGCAGGGTTGCTGGCCTCGGTCCCTGATCCCTAAACCCTAGCCGCTCGCGCGAGGTGGGGCAAGTGCGGCAACAGATGGAGGAGCCCATACTTTTCTATTGTCATTTTTTTGATTAAATCCATAAAGCTCCAAAGCCTCCACATCCTTAAGCCCTAAACCCTGAACCCTGAACCCTAAACCCTATGAGCCCTAAAGCCCGAAAGCCCCTGACGTCCGCCTGTGGACAGGAGCTCTGTGCGCAGCTGGCGCGGCGCAGCGCCAGCCTGGGGCCTGTCGGAGGCCCTGTGCAGGAAAAGGCTTCAGGGTTGAGGATTTAGGGGTTTGGGTTTAGGATTTAGGGTTTGGGGTTTGGAGGTTGGGGTTTGGGAAATTTCAGGGCTCAGGTTTTCGGTTGTAGGGTTCAGTGTCTCGAGGTGTAGGGCAGAAACATGGGGGTTTAGGATGTGTAGTTTATGGCTGATTGGGCATAGGGCTCCCGCTAAGCCCAAGAAGCCCGAAACCCCCGGCATTTTTTAGGCCCCGAGGGCTGCGCCAAAGAGGCTCCAGAAAGCTCTTACTTTGGGAGGATGCAGCTATATATTGCATTTATTCATACATTGCTATGTTTGCACCCTTCGTTCGTGGTATGTCTCATATATGCACATGTACATATCCTTCCAGAGCTCAGAGGTGAAGTATTGCTTAAGGGGCATGGTATTCGGCTCTCGGGGCCTTGCCGGTCGTATTGAATACTGCCTCCTGCCAGGTGACGCTCCTGAAAAAGGCCCTGAGAAGTCAGCGCGTGACTCCAAGGAGCAAAAAGGGAACGTATAGCACAAGGGAGCCTCAAAAGGGACCCCGAAATGTGATCAGGCGCTCCGCCCCCCCCACCCCCCCTTCTTGGGAAGGGGCGGGGGAACGCGGACACGCCAGAAGCCTGATCGTATGCAGAGAACTGACCGCATGAATTGCAGGAGAGTTTTGCAGTTGGAGCAATCGGGTGTCCTTATTGAGGTTAATTAAGATTTTTGTGTTGCTGGTTCCATGCCTAAAGGGTTCCAGATCTCGTCTCGGCTGGATTGGCTGACCTCAGCTGCGGCGAACCTGAGCGATGAGATCGGCAGGATGGGTCCAAGGCACAAAATCGCAAACCCATCCAAAAGCCTACAAAAGCCTGAGCAATGCACTACACTACACTACGTCTACGCCGCCTCTCATAAGCAACCTTCTTCACAGCCCCCCCGTGTATCAGACAGCCCGACACCTAAGCCATGTTGGCGATGCCACGATGTGAGACCCAGTAGTCATTATTTGGCATGTACATTTTTTCACGCTATGCCTGCAATATGTAAAACCCTGTATTCATGTAGTGCACAAGCCTTGTAATCCCAACGCCAACTCGCGTGCCTTTTGCACTTGTTGCTGCCTTAGGGGCTCAGGGGGTTGAGGGTGTGAACACCCGCCTCCTTTGCCTAGTCAGGAGCCCCCGGGAACGTCGAGCACCAGGCCGCAGATGCTTTTTTCTGGGTTTAGGGCGCTAGGGCCTTGGGGGGATTCATAGTCATTGCGCGCGGTCCCTTCGAGATGCCCTGTGCAAACGTATTCTGAAAAAGTTGGATTCCTTACCAAGCGGTCCCCAAAGAAGTTCTCAACCTTGCGCAGCCCCATTATGGGGCTGTTCCTTGTAGGGTTCAGGGTTTAGGGTTTAGGGTTGCGGGAGCGTTAAGGGCCCCAAACTGCCACCTTCCAAAGGAGGACGACCGCCGACAGCGCTGCAAGTGTCAGCTCTGCGTCGACCGCATTGCTACTCGGTTTAGGGTTTAGGGTTTAGGGTTTAGGGTTTAGGGCAGTTTACGGTTTAGGGTTTAGGGTTTATTGCAGTTTAGAGTCCAAACCCTGAACCCTCTGGTGTAATATAGGGGTCGGAATAATTGCTAATCGTATGCCGTGGTCCCTTGTAATTCTACCTTAATACCCCGAAAACCCTATTCTAATTATCAAGGCCACTATTGTAGGACTTAGTCGAGTTCAAATCTCCTGTCCTTGCCGGTCGCAAGCGTCGGGGTCACAGTGAGAGGAAGACGCGCAGCCGCTTCAAGCGATGTGGTTATTCACTTAGAGTAGGACCTTCCACGCGTGGTGGGGTGAGGGGGGCGGGGGAGGTGAGCGAGGCGGTTCCCTTTTTGGGGTACAGGGGTCCGTACTGCAACAGGTGCGTTAAAAAGGGACCCTAACTCACGGAACTGCCGCCATGAGGTGATCATGGCAGGGCGGGCCACACAATGATTCCGGGGACATAAATAGGTTCCGGCACAGCTGTGCTTGGCTTCCGTGAGTCGGGTGTTTGGGTGCCAAGATGGTATGGCATTTTCGGTTTCATGTTTTCTCCACCATCGAATCGTGCCCCACAGCAGATCGGCACCTGCAAAGCAGCTTTCCTTGCGCGCTGTTTTGAAATCAGAAAGCCGCACTGTTGTTGTCGACCCCGGGGATAGTCCAATACAATAGGGTTTAGGGTTTAGGGTTGAGGGTTTAGAGTTTAGGGTTTAGGGTTTGGTGTAGTGTTTGTTCAGAATCCTGGAGCAACAGCTTCCTCTGAGTCGAAGCAGGCGTTGGGCCAACACCCAAGGCATCCCCTAAGTCCGAAAGCTTAACCTTTCTGCTGTTGTATTCATACGTATACATACAGACCAGACGTGCATGCATGCATACATGCATGCACACGCACATATGTGCACATATTTGCTTGTTTTTTCTACTTTTCTAAGCACCCATATATGTATGTAATATATATATATATATATATATATAAATCATATATATGAATTTAGTCTTTATCATGTGCGTATACATATAACATTCCTCCGGAGCCCCGCCTCAAAAGCCAAGGCCTCAGCGGCGACCGCCGCAGGGATCTGAGCGGCGACTGGCTCTGCAGCGCGCCGCGCGTGTGCTGCTGCGGTGCGCCCCGGGGGGCTCAAAGATAGCAACAGTTGCGGCAGTAACGATAGGGTACGTTTATGCAACTCCCTGTCTCTCTCCCTCTCTCTCTCCCTCTCTCTCCCTCTCTCCCCCTCTCTCTGCCTCTCTCTCACTCTCTCTTTCTTTCTCTCTCTTTGAATATGTATATATATATATATACACATGTGGGTATCGTCCGATGATGACGGTTTTGTCTTCAACAAAGAAATTTCTCAATTGTAATGGGTAGCTCCTTTTGGGGCTTCAGTTTGTGGCTGAGGGCTCTCCAAAGCAGATTGCCGAAAAGAAAAAACCGAAAACAACACCAAAGAGGAGAGACATGGGAGTCTCAGGGTGAGAGTCCGGCTGGGCGTCATGATGAGTACACGTATGTACTTCCTAACCGAGAGAAAGGCCATACTGACCTTGCAAGAAGGGCTGTTGATTGGTGTAGGCTGCGACTGCAACTCGCCCGAATAATGCATCGCGTGTCAGGACTTCCGGACTGGGGCCGAGCGCCCCTCGCTTCGGGGCATGAGCAGCATGGAGTCATCAGGGAGCCGTGAAGTCCGTGAATCCCTAAGCCGTGAAGAACCCCTGGTACCCTGCAAAGACACTACTTGTGCTGAGGCCCCGAGTAATCTCACGTCTCCGGTCTTATCAATCTGCGTGTATCTTCCCTGCCTCATTCGCATGCAGCGCGTGATAATGTTCATGCGCGATTGTCTCACAGAGCTTGCTGGATAAAATTGCTGGTGAGCGAGGCGGCAGTGGAAAAAGCAAACCAACAGGTGACGGATGAGCTCTCAGTAACCAGCCCGATCCCCCCCTCCCCTCTTTCGAAGAAGAAGAGGATTCTAGCATCTATTCTTGCTGTTTACTCCCAGCCATGAAGGAGGGTGATTGCACGTAGTGCTCTACAACTAGACACATTTCAGGGATGCTCAGGAATGCTTCCTAGGACGCTACCAGTGGTCTTCGGACACATCTCTCTGTCTGGCGCTTGGAGAAGAAACTTCGCTTGTTTTGCCGACTGCCGAAGACTCGAAGGGTTGACGAGCCATTTCCCCCACTTAAAGTGCCCGACGACCTCCGAGCACCATGGCTCGCCCGGCGCCGCGGCGCGCCGTGCTCGCCGTCGTGGCAGTGGTTGTGGGACTCCATGCCTCCAGAGGCAAGGGTTCAGGGTTTTAGGGTTTATAGGGGGGTTTAGGGTTTATAGGGTTTATAGGGTTTAGGGTTTGTAGGGTTTAGGTTTTATGGGGTTTAGGCATGTGAAGAGTGGTGTGCAAAGTTCCTCCTGACGGCACCACGTGCGCGAGGCTTCCTTGGCGGCCTTGTCAACTCGGCCCACGGCGACTTTCAAGGAGATTTTCCAACGCAGGGCCAGGTGCGCTCCATTTTGCTGAGCTGTGTTTAGGGGTTAGTTAGGGTTTAGGGTCACTTGGGGGATCCAGGCTACTTAAGGTAGGTTAAAAAGTTAAAAGTACCAGTAGCTAAGATTCGTACCACAGTTACCCAACTTCGAACCCTCCTACTTCGTACCCATGAACCTCCAAGTAGGGATTTGCTTTTGCAGTTTATGGGGTTGCCCTATGCCCTTTGCCACAGGCCTCAAGCCTCTTTACTGGCCACCGGCCTGGTGCCAGGACGGTACATGTGGCCGCCTCATTTGCCACATCAGGGCGTTTCTACATAGCATCCTCCAAGAAAAAAGATGTCCTTGAAGGGAAGCCTTGTGCGTTGCAGCTGAGGTCATCATGAAGGCAGGTGCCGAGGAAGAGAGCCTCCAGTCTGCCATCAAAGGCGGGAACAAGGACAGGATCCAGAAGGCGATCGAGGGTCTCCCGGACCCTGGCAACTTCGTGATACTTGGGAAGCATTCTTATTTTTTTGGTCCTAAGAGAAGCAGTTTAAAAATATTTAAGTTAATTAAAATTGCTTGAAATTCAGTAAAATTAATTCAACCTTTTTCTAGGGTTCCAAGAGCTGAAAAAAAAAGGCAAGAGCGCCATGAAGGAGATCGAGGGTGACTGGCAGGTCACCTGGGACTCTGGCAGCCTCGGCCCCACGAAGAAGACTCTTCTAAAGTTGGTTTGCGACCAGCTGCCGAACACAATGGTCGAATTCTACAGGCAGTGCCTTAGAGTGATTTTTGGGAAGATCGTTTTAAATTTTGGGCGCTAGATTTCTTAAGAAACACTTAGTGATTTTTGGGAACAATTTTTGTTTTTGGGCACTAGAATCCCTAAGAATCAGCTAAGATTTTAGTTGTTTTTTGCTAGGGTTGATCAGTATAGGTACAACCTGATTCAGGACGGCAAGTACTACTGGCTGCAGGCCTTCACGATGGACGGCATCCAGAGGACGAACGCCGCGCTACTGATGTCCGGCCCATTCAAGGCCGGCAAAGGCAACACGGGCACCGTGGACTTCAACGAGGCCCACACGGTTTAGGGTTTAGGGTTTCGGGTCAGGGTTTAGGGTTCAGGGTTCAGGGTGTAGGGTTCTTTGGGAAGCACACCGAAAAAAATCCAGCTTGAGCGCCTATGTGATCCAACACCTCAGAAAATTAAGGTCAATAAGCCAACCATCCTAGTCGCGTCCACCGGCTATTTTCAGGGTCAGTCTTGATCTCGAAGATGACTTCGAGAAGCCTTCAAAGTCCCGAACTTCGCAGCTCCCCAAATCAAAGACCCAGTTCACAAAGAAAGCCTAAACCGACCCCCAGCCCCTCAAGCTCCCAACTCTCAAACCCTCAAACCTCCAAACCCCAAGCATGCAGACCCAAATCCCAAACCCCAAACCGCCCAAAGCGCCCAAACCCCCCAAAACCCCAAATCCCAAACCGGGCCCCAAAACCCAAACCCCAACCCCCCAACCCTAAAACCCGAAACCCCAAATCCCTAAAATCCTAACACCCTACAACCCCGAATCCACATCCCACCCTAAAACCCTAAAACCCTCATCTCCGGTCCAGATCAACCCTAAACCCTAAACCCGAAACCCTAAACCCTAAACCCTAAACCCTAAACCACCCCCCTGGGAAGGTCCAGATCGTGCCCTCCCGGCACGGCTCCGCGGAGAGCCGGGAAGCCATCCGCTCCACGGGGCTGGACCCGGGGCCTCATTTTACTTCCTACCTTGGGATGTTCTTCCCCTTATACTAGGCGGGGTTTAGGGTTTAGGGTTTAGGGTTTAGGGTTTAGGGTTTAGGGTTAAGGTTTGGGGGAGTCCTTGTTGGGGATGAAGGTACCCGCTATTGTAATCCCTGGGTCTAGGGTTTAGGGTTTAGGGTGTAGGGTTTAGGGTTTAAAGGTTAGGGGTTAGGGGTCAGGGGTTGGGGTTTAGGGTTTAGGGTTTAGGTTACAAACCCTTTACAAGCCACTGGTAGGGATTGGGATGTTCCCCTCCCCACAGACACAAGGACAGATACATGAAGCCGCTCAAGCTCAAGGATGGCGGCAAGGTGGAGGTGCCTCCGCTTTCTGCAGTACCTTTTGCCGGTTTTATGTGGATATCTATGGGGCCATAACTGGTGGCAGATGGTAAGATGTACGTTCAGCTGGTTTATATATATATATATACACAAACGGGAACATCCATAACTTGAAGTTTTTCAGGCGGTTCTTGAACGGCAAAGGTTACAGTGCACTACGTCAGCGACGAGACCTTGGTCCAAGAAGACGAAGTGGGCAACACCTACGTCTTCAAGAGGATGTCGGACTCCTATCCCGTTCCTTATGCAGCCTGGCAGATCGAAGCCTAAGAGACTAAACCCTAAACCCTAAACCCTAAACCCTAAACCCTAAACCCTAAACCCTAAACCCTAAACCGCGGCGCACTTTCTGTGGGTAGTGGAAGCTTGAAGGTGCTGATTTGCTTCGGGTGAGGCGCACAGGTATCTGCCATAGGACCTGCTAGGCCCTGCTATGGCTCAACGTCCAGTTTCGGGTGTAGGGTTTAGGGTTTATGCGTTTGGGGTCAGAATCCCACTGCAATGTCACTTGAATTTAAGTGCTGCCGCTGAGATTTTCGCAGACAAGAAGGCGGAGAGCTGATCTTCTGAAGTCTGAGCCTCTTCCGGAGGATGGGCAGGGCCGTTAATGACAAATGCAATTCACTTGGAGCTTGCTTGCGCAGACAGAGACGAAGTGAGACAGGCGTGGAAACGCGGAGAAAGGGTGCCGAAAACTGACTGCATGCCACGGAAATCTGGGTGATTCCGCTAGTTTGAGAGAGGGAATCGTGAATCCACTTATGCCCAGACCATGCCCCGACGGAAATGCAATCGGGGCTGAAATCGCAGATTTCAATGTCAGCCGACACCTGATTCTCCTGCCAACTTCTTTTGGAATCTTCAGAGGAACCCCAAACTAGGTCTCCCAAGCCCCCAATTCAATCTTCAACCCGGCCCGGGTTGAAGTTCAACCGGCCAGAGGTATCGCGAATCTGGATCTGAGAAACTTGAAAGCTGTCTCTCTTTCACGAACGAGAAGCTCATGAAGGGCACTTCCTAGTGAAGTTCAGGAGCTTCTTCGTACATAATGCCGGATTGGCCGTGCACAGTGGCGGCCAGCAACGCAAAAGAGAGACGCAACACCAGTTATCGTACCAAGATGAGACCTTTTCCAACTGCCAAGATCACGGCAATGTCCAAGCCCGAGCTGCCGCAGCTTTCGGACTTGACAGGCGGTCGAGTCCCACAGAATGCCAAATACTATCGGAGAGCGAGCACTCGCCAGAGTACCGGGCTCGCGTGTGAGTGTATGCTGCGCCGCCGACCCATACTTAGCGGCATACGCAGAACACAGACTAGCCAGTATATCGGAATTCGTCCGGCTCTTCCTATTTCGCGTAGAGCTTGCGAGTTCGCAACGCGTCTCGGCCCAAGAGGCCTCTTTTGGCCCAAAGACAGTGGACTCTTGCCAGGATGTCTCCCGCAAGCCTCAAGCGACGTCAAACGAGTCAGGAGGCAGGCGAGGAGGTGCAAGCAGTGTCGCGCGTTCAAGACAACAAGGTATGCCCTTTCTGTTGCGGGACGGCTGGCTTGGGTTCTTGCGTTGCATTGGGGAGACGCACTGGATTCCCAGCGAGCTTCTCCTTGCGCTTGGTGGGCGGAACTGCTCTCTGTCCTGAAAGGGCATCCACGAAAGTTTTCCTCCTCGATGCACATGGCCGCCACTCCCTGCACTTCAGCGGCGATGGGCCAGGGCGGGCCTGGCCTGCAGCTGTGAAACCTGACCGCGCGCGCGCGCCGGGACACAGCAAAAAAAGAACAAAGACAAACCCCCTGTGCTGAACCGGTATATAATCCGTTTCGCAGCTCTTGTCCAGTATGCGAGAACGTCGAGCTCAGTTCGTTCGAGATTGCTTCTTGTATTTTCATTTCGCGATGAAAGCCGCCAAATGTTTTTCTAAGGGCTCTGGCTCTGGCTGGAAAGCCTGGACTCTGTGTGGCCTCATTCGCGTGCAAAGCGGAAGAGGCTCTGGGAACGCCCGGGGCCTGAATGACTGCGGGATACTGCGGGCGTTCGGGCGGCATTGGTTGGACGCGTGCCCACCAAACCTGCCAAACCTTTTTGAACATCTCACTTTCATACACAAGTTTCCACTCCTTGGTGCCTCGGGCCAGAGCAGAAGCCTTTGCAAGCGCACCCAAGAAGCCCTGCGTCATGGAGGGTATAGATCGATGTTCGTGTTGGCGAGACGGACCGAATTTGCCACGTCGACAAGAGGATTTTCGTTTGAGATTTGGCGCAAAGTTCATGTCGCCCGGAGCCTCCGAAAACAAGCGTGCTAGGACTTAGCTGCTGAGATCTGATGAGAGACATGTTTCTTGCCCATCAATATGTATGGACAAACTGAACTGACCTGCTATCCCACAAGCCGCCGGCGCGGTGCCAAGAGGCAAGCTGAGTGTTTCAACGACACTCAGGGCAGTTCCCTGTGCTTCCCGGGTGTTGCGTTGGCTGGCGTCCGGATCACTCATGCCCGCCTGATCCCGCCTGATCCCGCCTGGCCTCGACGCTGATGTTGTGGTAGGACCTGCCTTCCTTTCCTCGTCGGCGAGAAAGAAATCCAGGATGGAGACGATCGCAGATGATATGTCTTTTGCGAGCGAGTGTATGGTAGACTCCGCTTTTCCTTAACCCGCAACACCACCATCAAATGTAACGAGGTCCTGAAAAGCTTTGTGGATGTGGTCCACTCAAGTCCTTGCCACACCTTCTGCCGTGATCCGTCGGTGCTTCCGTTGAACACCGTGCTCCCTCATGCAAGCCTCACTGGTCTGGTCACATAAACCCTCCTGACTTTTTTCCTTGCAATGTTCGCTTGCTCTCGCAGCTTAGAATCACGTGAAACACCGAAGCTGTGGGTCATTGCGTGTGTCGCTTGACATCAGCCAAAGACTTGCCTCAGCAAAGAATGCGAGCTGTGCTCACAGCCAGGTGAATTCCACAACTACTTGACCGAGCCTTGCCAGACGTACATCCTGTCAGAGGGGACACGAATGTGACGTCGCTCGCCGAGTGGTGTGGCCCCGTCAGCGACGAAGTCTAGGCGGCGGCGATCGTCAGGGTCGACGCCAGGGGCAAGCGCGCACGCCGAATTTGACCTTGGGGTCCGACGGCCTCGCGCGCGATACGCAACCATGCGTGCTCGAGGGGCTTCGCTCTTCCAGCGAGCACCACAGCCGTGTTTGTGTGCGCCGCATTTGTGTTGAGCGATTGGCAAGGGCAACCGCAACCGCAACCGCCGCAGTGCTATGAGCATGCGATCGGCAAGCAAAACGGAGCCAGCCTCGCTTCGGATGGCGCTGAGCCATGCGGCAGCATGCGGCCCGGACTGCGAACATAGCATGGCCTGGGCAGGGAGTTGCAGGCAGGCAGCAACTCGGTCTCGCGAAAGTGGGTAGAGCAGGCGGGAACCGTGTTGCTGCCAGCCCTCGCACCTTTCGCCGGGTCGCATTGCGCGGGGCGCCGACCATCGTGTTTGGCATTCCGACAGGGGCGGCCTTGCCAGCCGGCGCCGTGGAGCGCGCGGTCCGCCTCGGCAGTGCGCAGGCAGGTGAGCTGGTCTTGCAGCGACTTCTGCGAGGCGCTTGGCAGCGGGCGGCGAGCGCGCAAAACGGGCAGGGCATCGGCATGCATCGGCCCAGGCGGCCCAGTAAGCTGCAGGGGCGGTACGTGCGGCGCACTGCGAGCCAAGGCCACCCAGACGAGCTAGCAGCAACGCGAGACGGCGCGTTGCGGCGACCCCTTATCGCCCAGTGCCAGCAGCATAGGCATCGCCAACTACGCAACACGTTTTCTCGTGCTGACGCCTCGGGGACTCGGGTACCGAGAAGGGAACACCCCTCAACCTCAATCCCTTCCTCTCGGTTTTTCATGGGTCGACTTTTTGTTTCTATCTCCGATAGGAGCGGGGCCTGGACCAGCGGTCCCCCCCCCCCCCCCCCCCCCCCCCCCCCCCCCCCCTCCCCCCCTCCTTCCCCTCCCCTCTCCCCTCCCCCACACTCACTCATGCCGTGTGCTGATGCCTGACGCCCTCCTCACCAGCTTTGTTTCATCTCCTTTGCTGGTGTGGGCTGGAGCCCGCCTCGCCAGCTCTGTTACCTCTCCGTTGCAGCTGCGTGTGCTGATGTTTGGAGGCCGCCTCGCCAGCTTTGTTGCCTTTTCGTTGCTGGCGCAGCTGAGTGTGCTGATGCATGGCGCCCACCCCAGCTCGGTTTCATCTCCCTTGCTGGCGATGCCTCTCGCCAGCTCTGTTGCCTCTCCGTTGCTGGTGCAGCTGCGCGTGCTGATGCCTTGAGCCCGCCTCGCCGGCTCTGTTACCTCTCCGATGCTGGTGCAGCTGCGTGTGCTGATGGAGCCGCCTCGCCAGCTGTTTCCTTTCAATTGCTGCTGCAGCTGCGTCTGCTGATGCCTGGAGCCCTGCTCGCAAGCTCCCTTGCAGGTGCAGCTGCGTGTGCTGAAGCCTGGAACCCGCCTTGCCAGCTCTGTTTCCTTTCCGTTGCTGGTGCAGCTGCGTGTGCTGATGCATGGAGCTCTCCTCGCCAGCTCTGCGTGTGCTCATGACTTCCTGCCGCCCCAATTGTACAATTTTCCTCTAAAAACCCGTCATCTGGACACGCAGCTTAGTGTCCATCTGGTTCAACAACGCATAGCCTGGACCTGCTAGCTTTCGTTCCCTTTGGCCCGCCCCTGAAGTTGGCCTGCCTGTGTCATCTTTGCGGAGGGGCTATGCGTCCTGCTACTCGTGCGTCATCCGTGCGCAGGGGCTATGCACCTTGGAGTACTGACATAGATGTGTTGGATCAAATCGTGCGGACACATACTCAACACTTTGGCACCGCGTGATTGCGAGGGATCAAACAGTGTGCATTGGACTCTCGAAGAATCTCTTGCCGAAATGTTTCTGAAGCTGCGTTCCCAGATGGCAGTGAGTTTTTTTTCCGGGCTTGTAACAGGCACCGGGGGGTCCCTCCGCGACAAAGGTTTGTAACAGACGTGCCGTGTCCGCGACAACCCCCCCCCCCCGCGACAAGGCTACAACCCCCCCCTCCCCGACAAGACAGCAATACCATTGAGTTTTCTCATTGCCAATCTCGATGCGACCTTGATGCGTGTCTGCAGCAACTTTCACTCTCAGTCCGCGACAAGGCCTGCGACAGGGCGCGACATACCCGCGACAACCCGCGCGACTGCTCGAGCCAGCAGGTGCCCATCCGTAGGACAACCTTGAACGAGAAGCCCAGGGTTTATATTTACAGGGTTCAGGGTTTAAGGCTCTCCAGTAAAATCCCTAAACCCTTCATCCGAAACCCCAACCCTAAACCTAAACCCTTTACCCTAAACCCTTACAAAACCCAACTAAGAAAATTGGGTTCAAAGTAGCGGCGCGACAAAGGTATGAAACAACCTGCCCGCGACAAGGCTTGTAGCAGAGGGCAGGGCGGACCCCCCGCGACAACCCGAATTTTAACCCACTGCCAGATGTTCGCAGTGTTCCTGAACCTCGCCATCAGCTTTTTCAACGGTCAGCATGCCTGTATTTGGACAAGCCTGTCTCATGTCGTCGTCGCCTGAAGTGGTTTGATGCAGTGGTCACTGCTATTGCGGGTTTTGCAGCGGGACATCGCAAAGTATACGCTCATGATTTATGGGCCGCCTTCGGGCAGCAGGCTTGACCTTGACCCTGGCCTGATGCACACGTGTGGTTTGGAGACCTAGCCCTCGAGCCGTCTGCGCGTGGAATCGTTCTCCTCGGAACCCCCTTCGGCGAGCCGGAGTTCGTTGCCAGGCACTTGCAGGCTCTCTCTGCCCGACACGAAGGCTTGCTCGCCTCCCTGCCCCAACTTGGCGACACTCAGGTCTCGTGGCTCCTGCTTCTGTACACGGCTGCCCCCCGCGCCCAGTTTGCTTTGCGCACGCTCGCCCCCTGCGACACGCGTGAGTTTGCGCTCGCGCACGATGCCCGCGTGCTCTCTGCTCTGAGTGGGTTGTTGCTTGCTGACGGGTCGGCCCCTTTGCCACCTGCTGCTACTCGTGTTGCACAGCTTGCCCTTCGGGATGGCGGCCTTGGCTTGCGCAGCGCTGCGCTGCATGCACCTGCAGCGTTCTGGGCATCCTGGGCGGACGCAGTCCCCGTCCTTCGCTCGCGGGCCGCGCCGCTTGCCGAGTCCTTGGTGCACGCTCTGGATGCACGCGATGCTGTTGAATGGTCACCGGTGCAGAACCTCCTGCGGGCCTCCGATGCCCTTGCTGAGGCTGGCTTCGCCGTCCCGCAGTGGGCTGCTCTGCCCCGCGCGGCCCCGCCCCTTGCTGCTGACGATGCGGACCCCGATGTCCCTCACCGAGGTTGGCAACGCCCAGCCTCGAGAGCCCTTGACGATCGGGCCGCTGCGGAGCGTCGTGCCGTTGGCCCTGCCGAACTCGCGCTCCTTGACTCACAGTCCGGCCCCTTTGCCGCCAGGTTGCTTACTGTTCGCCCTGTTGCACCTGAGCTTGCCCTCGACTCTGCACTTTTCCGGGTTTTGCTCCTGCGTCGCTTGCGGCTCCCGCTCCCCCTTGCTCCCGCGCGCTGCCGCTGTGGCCGTCCGCTTGATGCCTTGGGTGACCATGTTGCTGCCTGCCCTCGGTCTGGCGTTCTCAGGGCGCGGGGGGGCCCGCTTGAGCGAGCCGCTGCTCGGGTATGTCGTGAAGCTGGTGCAACTGTTGCAACCAATGTTCTTGTCCGCGACTTGAACGTTTCGGCAGCCAGACATGATGAGCGACGCATTGAAGTTATTGCCAATGGCTTGCCCTTGTGGGGCGGCTCGCGGCTAGCCGTTGACACAACTTTGGTCTCGCCACTCACTTCCGCTGGTCTGCCCCGTCGCCGGCGTGGCAGCACAGCAGGCGTAGCCATGCGTAGCCCTGGCTGAGGCGCGCCGGGCCAAAGAGCGCACTTACCCTGAGTTCGCTGCAGCCCATCGGTGCCGGCTGGTTGTTCTTGGCCTCGAGGTTGGTGGTCGCTGGAGTGCCGAAGCAGCCACCTTCATCCGTTTGCTCGCGCGAGCGCGGGCGCGCGGCGCAGCTCCGTCGCAACGTGCTGCGTGTATAGCGGCTTTCGTCGGACGATGGTCTGGGTTCTTGTCCATCGCAGCTGCCCGCTCATTCGCTGCCAGCCTGTTGTCCCTGCCCATCTCCAGCACCGCGAACCTTGACGGAGACGCGCCTCTCCTAAGCGACGTCCTCGCTGACTCGGCTGAATCGCCGCCGCTCGCCTCTCGCTTGGGGTGAGCCCGGGTCGGTGGTTAGGCGGGTTGTGGGTTCGGTAGGGCTCGGTGGTCTGCTGCACTGGGACCGCGATCGGATGCTGGAAAAAAGGGTGCGGAAAAAAAAAACCTGCGCTCATGATTTACATACGCTCGATGTGCCAATGCGACGTATGCTGCGGTCGATAGTCGCCGCTCCTTCCGGAATGGTCCAAAGCCGTCGATGTTTAGAATGATAAACATTGACGTGACGTCATGCTCAATTACCGTTTGAGACCATGTAAAGTTGCGTTCCTTTGCCAGCTCCTCCAAGAGGCCGCCTACAGGCATGCAGGACTTACTTACTTACTTATATACTTATTTATATACTTACTTATTTACTCCTTCCGGAATGTATTGGACCAGACAGTGGCATGAAAATTTGCATGATTGTGTGGCGCGCGGATAACATCTGCACATGGTCAAACCGATGTCTGTGACAACAGTATGTTATCTCGTTGCCAGATGAACATTGGGTTCAGCGCGCTTTAAATTGGAACCCTGGACATCGGCGTGTGTTAGGCCAGTATTGAAATGCATTGTTGCCGCGCTCCAATCGATGCGGGAGCGTTTGGGCGAGGTGCCGTTGACCACCGGAACCGACAAAGCTGCATGGTTGGAATTGACAGATGATTTCGTGTTCTTTGTGAGTGAGCACGCCTGTGCCTTAGTTTTCGCTTGAGCTCTCAAAGGGCCGCCTTCGGGCCTTCAGGCTTGACCTGGACCTTGACCTTAACACTGGTTGACCTTCTGGACCTCGCTCTACGCGTCACCTTGCTGCAACACGATCCTTAAGATATGGGCAAGTTCACGCGCGCCGTAAATATTTTACCATTGGCTTTATAAAGAGTGAAAGGGGCCATATTAAATATATTAAAAGGCGCGCTATTCATTGCCCTTCTAGTACATTTAATATAGGGGCATGAACGAACACTGGGGAAAAGAGGTTATGGTCGCGAGAATTACATGACAGGGTGAAGTTGATCTGTGAGCCAGGTTCATGAAGACAACGCCCCTGTCCATAAGCCCCATTTCCAAGTACTGGAAATCTCTTCATCTTGGTGGTCTTCGTGAATGAGCTCTTTTCACTCGCTTAATAAGGCGAAGAATTCAGGCTTATTTTCCTAATGTTATAATACGGGGGCTTCTTCATTCCCTTCCTAATTTTGCTTGTTGTTCAATTGAGTTCATGCGTCATTCATATCTTCACCGCATAGGGCTCGGTCCCGGACTACGGTTTCGGATCAGGAGGCCGACGCGGCGGCAGACGCCCTTATACCGTTCACGGCTGGTCGGACTCGCCAGCCTGGCGAGCGTGTGGCGCGGCCGCCGCTCGAGCCCGCAAATGAGCCGGCGCATTTGCGGGCTCGGGCTGGCAACGTAGTGCAGTTCTCGCACTTCACACCTCCCCCACATGCGGTTTTTTTTTGTTTTGCTTAGTGCTATCCCCGTGCCCGCTGCGGAGGGGATGGTTTTGCCAGGCTGCCGTACCACTTCGCGGCTTGTCCCGTGCCGACGACCGTCGCCACCTCGACTTCGTTGTGTACAGGGCAACGACCAATGGCGAGGCCTTGTGCTGCGACGCAACGCTCGTCTCCCCTCTCACTCGGACTGGTCGGCCCGTCCCCGGGGCCGACGCTCGGGCGGGGGTCGCGCTTGTTACGGCACGCAGGCGCAAGGTCGCACGGTACCCGGAGCTGACGCGAGGGGGGCCTCAGCGGCCGGTTGTCCTCCCTGCTGCTGAAGTAGGGGGCCGATGGAGCGACGAGTGCCAACAGTTCCTCCGCACCCTGCTCCGGCTCCGCGTCCAGCGCGCCCCGCCACCTTTGCGCGCCTCAGCCGCCCAGGGCTGGGCGCGCCGCTGGTGGAGTGTGTTGTCGGTTGCCCTGCAGCGAGCAGTCGCCAGCTCCGCGCTTGGCGTCTGGACGATGCCGCCGCTGCCTGGCGCGCCAGACACGCTCCCGTTGAGCGACGTGCTCGACCTGGCGAGTGCGAGCGCCCCCAGTCGGCTGCCGCTTCGCTAGCGCTCCGTAGGAGTCTAGGTAGCTGACGTCGTTGGGACTCGGGACGCTTTCGGCGGACGCAGAAAAAAAACAATCCGATTTCATTTCTTGTAAGCTGGGTCGCTGCTCGCAATGTATTGTAGGCAGGCGGAGCTCAATCATTGAGCCTCCTAGCAACGGTTTCTCCTCAACAGTCAGGGGAAACCCGAAGTTCTTTGAATGTTAGGTTCCAAATAGATGCCTTGTTTGCCCCCGCCTGCGTGTTCCCCTACACCCCTTTTCTTGTTTCTGCAGAGCACGTTTCGTGCGTTTGCTCGGTCGGGTTCGGGCGGTCCCGGCAGCGTTCCGGGCCCAGGCCGCCAGGGCCTTCGTTGCGCGGTCCGCGCTGCTCGCCATTTCCGCAGCCCGGGCCTTCGCGGCCACCCTCCTCGCGCTGCCCGTCGCCTCCACCGACAACGACGACAGACCCCCTCCCCCTCACGTCAGCGAGGTCCTCGCAGAGGCCCGCTACTGTACTCCGAGGCCCGCCTCTCGCGAGCCGCCTGCCGGCTTGAACCGGCGACGCTGAGCCCTACAACCAACAGCCCTGCACCGGGACCTGCTCGGAGATGAAGGCAAAAAGGTGCGAGGGGTGAGAAAAAAGAGCCAGGGGAGGGGACCGGGGACCCATCTCGCCGACATCCTCACCGACACACGATGCTCACGCGGCGTCTCCCCCCATTGACCGGACACCTCCTTTGCAGCATTCACGCGAGAAAAAACTCACAAACCGATTTCCATCCATGATGAATCCCAACATTGGCATTTCCATGTCATCCAAGACCAGTTTTTTTTTTGTTTCTTTTGCGCAGCTGGTTGCTTGGATTTCCGTATTGAGCCGTCCAGCTGCAACCGTGGCATGTGTTGGTGACCTGCTGGGCTCAAGCTGTGACCCATGGCATGATGGATCGGGATAGTTGTTTGCCCTGTGGCTGCGGCAATGGGCAACCAGGTTCACGATCCATGTGTGCTGTTTGGTGCAACCCTAAACCCTAAACCCCTTGGCCCAAACCCTAAAACCCTAAAACCCTAATCCCCAAACCCTAAACCCTAAACCCTAAACCCTAAAACCCTGATCCCTAAACCCCTAACCCAAAACCCTAAGTCTGGCGGGTGGACGGCGGCGCCTTTTTGACAGGTGCCCGTGGTGGTGGAGCGGTGCGGCTCCGTATGTGACAGCCTTGTGTTTTTGTGTTGCTTGCTTACGTTCACGCCGCTCATTTAACAGGGTTGTGCTTTGGGCTTCTTTTTAATTTTCTTTCTTATAAGGCTTATAAGGGAACCTATTCATAAGAAAAGTTTGAAGCCCAACTCAATTACAGAAGGGAGTTCGATCTGACGCACAAGCGCTGCACGAGGCCACTCTTGCGAAGCATCCAAAGATGGTGGACATCCTTGCTCAGCCCTCGGTGGTCGGCAACGTAAGTCGTTGCAGATTTTTCACCAAATGCTATGGCCCCCTGGAGTTTTTTCAAAACAGGTTCCCCCTCGCTCCTGGGTTCAGAGGAGTTCGTGGAGACGCGAGAGGTTGGAAGTGGTTTCGAAAAAATGTGGATGCTGAAGCATGCTGAAGCAGCTGGGCTTGCGCAGGTCAAACAAATGCATGCTTGGCAATCGCCGACTTCCTCGCCGAGAGCAGGCCGCGCGGCATGGCGCGTTATGGTGCGTCGAGGTTGCGGTAAGCACGTCGGATGTTTGCTTTGATTCATGTGAGGTAAGGGCGTGACGCTCAATACAGAAGACTTGGCACCCATGTCACCGTCCATGGCAAGTGCTGGCACGATTAGCCAGAGCATGGGTTTGGCCACGGCCCCATTTTTTTCTGGCAGTGCCCGTCCTGATGCATGAAACTTTAGCCTGTGATCTTTATGTTGAGTCAGGCCACACCACACTCCACTCCTCAGCAAGTCGGTGTGCGGCACTTAGAATGTCAAGCGCAAGCAGTCTAGGTTTGCTGGGGGGACACGCAGGGAGGCTACTGGCCCAGTGTTGTAGGCATCATGCTGACACGTGTTCACAGCTTTGTGGCACAATGGCAGGTGCTTGTGGGCCTGCTACGAGGGTGCGCCTGCCGAATTGTGTACCACGTTCGAGCATGATGGTCCAGCGACTTGGGGCTTGCAACATTTGATAGGCTCATTGTCCTTGGCTGAAAGAGGACACAATTTGGGCTGTGCTTTTGAGTTGTCCTGCCAGGCTTACGGGCGCGCTGGAGGAGAAAACTGTGCAGGGGCTTCAGCGGCGGGATGTGTGTTTTTCACCGGGCGATGCGACGTCTTTCAATCAAGCCCGCCTTCACGACTGCTGAGGACGTACCCTGACGGTTCCACGTACAGCGGAGCGCTCCAAAACGGGATGCGGCACGGGAGCGGCGTTCCAGACTCAGAACTGGGGTTCGGAGGGGGGGGGGGGGGGTTCAGTTTATACTTGTAAATAAAGAATGTTCCCAAAAACGGCACTTAAATTGAGTGAAAAAACTCACTGGATGAGGTTTGGAAAGCGGAGGCTGAGATGTACGATGGGGAATGGCGTCGCCGGCCGGCTTTTGCTGAAGAACATGGAACTGCGTGGTACTTTTCACGGATGCATGGCATTCATATTGGACATCACAACGAGGGCAAGTCAACGCATGCACCACTGTCGTGAAGCGTCGCCAGGCAAAATGACCAACAACATGGGACTGGCCGTCAGACATGGGGTGACGGGTGTCGCCAGCTGCATGTTGCTAGCCGGTAGTCCGCCGCATGCAAGTCGCATGGGCATGGTGGGCTTTGCAAAGTTTGTGACTCGCCGGTTCACCGTCTGTCAATGCTGCCATCTGCCAGGCGGTCCTATGAAGGCCAGTACTACCGGGGCCATTTCTCTGGAACTGGCAAAATGGCTGGCGCCACAGTGCCCGCAGGATGTCGTAGCTCGAGCCCTCATGGAGTTCGATGTCGGATATTCTTTCATACAATTTCTTTTGAACAAGCTATATATATATATATATAAATATGTTAATATATGTTATATCTGCTGCTGCTAAGGTTTGGAGGACCCCCAAAGGTGCACCAGTTGTCGTGTGGGAGCTGTGCGGATTCGTAGTGGCATAGTGCAACAGTCGTGCAGGCACCATGTCCTACGAGGGCGAGTACCTCGATGCACGCGCCTCGTGAACGATTGTCGCATGTTGGCCTTGAGCCGTCAGCAGCGCTGCGAGGGTTCGAAAGCATCATATAGGCACCCGTGCCTTTTACTCAGATGCAAACATGGAAACGTTATTCCATCTTGTGCGGCCTTGCATTCCAGTCAAGCGAGCAGACAACCAACACTTGAGCGATAACATCCCTTTTGCTTCTGGGAGAAGGGCCCGTGGCCCCGCGAGGACATGAAGCATGGCATGGGCAAGTTCACCTGGGCCGATGGACGCTGCTATGATGGAGAGTGGCAGCCAAGACCCTAGTAACTGAGGAGGTTCCGGATATTTCGCCGGCTTGCAAGAAGAACAAATCCTGAGTCGTAGAATCAAATCCGAGGCAGGCGGGGGGATCAAGGGGGGCGCAGGGAGGGACACGAACACAAATGGCAGAGGCCCTGCCTACACCTATGCTGCGATGCGATGGGGCTTTGGGTTGAGTTTGGGCGCAGGGCTTGGTACTTAAAGGTCACTAGGGTACTTCTTAGCAGGGTTATAAGTACCCGAAATGATGTTACGTATTTCCATAGATACCCTTTTTAAAACCGACCCGTAAATACCCAAGAACCTCCAAGTAAAGTTTAGTATGAGGTTTCAGGGCTGAACTGCCATCTCTCGTCTCACATTGCCAAGGCAAGGCAAACGACATGGCCGCGGAGTGGGAAGTCCTAGCCTGCCGCATTCTGCAAATGCATAGGAGTCGTGCGCGCACTGGCACAACTGACAGTCTCAGCCGTGTAGCAGCGAAGGGCAGACACGTCTGTGAATGCTTCTGGGTCATGTCGCAATGCCGCATGCCCTGGTAACTCTGCGTAGTGTAGGCTGCTGTTGTGTTTGTCCTGGCTAAGGCTTACACCTCCGCAGAAGGCGACTATCGAGTCGGCTATTGGTCCGAAGATCAGCACGGCACTCGGCACATGTCGGCGCATCGCCACATTAGTCACCATTGCAATAGGCCTGTTTCCGACATGCTTGAGAAGGAAATCGCTGTTTGTCCGGCTAAGGTTCGTTAGATGGGAGCAAAGACCGTGCGAACAGGACAGCTACAACCGATTGTTGCGGTGACAGCTGCGCAGCAGCTCGATCTGTCCAACAAGAAAGTCAAAGACTAAGACGGTTCAATGCATTCTTTTATTGTGCTTGTGACTGTGCCGTGAAAAGCGTTATACATGAGCACTGTTGGGCAATGGAGCTGCGCGCTGTGATGTCGCTTGATGTCACTTGCCGCAAAAGTTTTTTGAGAGGGCTTGTGAGCAGATAAAGATAAGCGACATGGGTGGATGATCGTAGTGCCGTAACGGCTGGCCTTAGCGGGGGAGAGAAATGCAAAGCAGGGGATGATTGATGAGGCATTGTGAAGACGTTGTTTCGATGCATTGTTCTTGTTCTTGCGTGTAGCTTTGGGGCATGAGAGGCGACAGCATGTTAGGGCAGGCCAGCTGCTCGTAGCTTGCAAGCCGCAGCCCAGTAGTACTCATGGGCGGCCATTTTCAATGGCACTGTATATGCGTGTATGCACGATGCAAGATGGGAGCACCTTGAGGAAGAACCAGGTGCGACCCGCAAGCTATCCTCAGGTCGCTTTTCAGAGTTCAGGCAAAGTCCTGCATTGCAAAACCCGAAGCCCTCAGCTCACGCCCCCAGACCCGTGACCGACCGTGAGCGTCGAAGCTTAAACGTTTCCCATTACCCATTACTCTGCCCGCTGGGCGCCCGAAGATCTCAGCTTTCCTCAACAGAACAGCCGCCCGTCATCTCTAAAGACGGGGATGCCAAGCCGGGTAGGAGCTTGAATGCAATGAGGCATGCAGACCAGGCCTCCACTTCAGGGTTTCTGAAGGGGATTATCCTTAATATTTTTTGGGGGTTCAAAAGGGGGTACCCTGATTCTCTGGAAGCTTTCAATTGTGTTCGCCCTGATGGCGAATCTGGTTGGGAGCCATACGACGTGAAGAGACGGACCGTAGCTTGGAGGGTTCATGGGTATTTATAAGCAGGGTTACAAGTACCCGAATTGTAAGTACCCATGAGCCCATAGTTACCCTACTTATAGCCCGATATTTACAAGTACCCATTAACCCTAAACCCTAAACCCTAAACCCTAAGCTCTCCAAGAGGGGGCTTCTCACCGTAGTCCGCGCAAAATGCATCTGTTAAGGTGCTGCGCCCCCCAAGTGTGGGCCCTTTGGCCTCATGGAGCCCTGAAGGCCCTGTTGGGGAGAAGCCATGACTCCTTAAAGGTATACTCTGGGCTAGAGGCTTAGGATTTAAAGGAGCCCAGAATATCCTAGAGACTCGCGCTGGCTGGGGATGGTTGGAGAGTTCGCAGGGGCTTCTGATTCTGAGCATTCTGAGTTTCATGCCTTACCAATACAACATTGTGAGACCTGGCCCGGGGCGCGCGGCAGTTTTATCAGCACGGCGGAAGGAAAGTAATAAAGAAGCTGCATGCTGCCCAAGGCACGTGTCAGCACAGACGCGAACCGCACCGAAGAAAGGCTGCCCAAATGTATTTGCTACGTGAGATGGCAACACTTCGTCAGTGGATGTTTTGCAGTTTTTCTTTGCTGTGACTGCAGGCCACGCTCCTGCTTCTTCTACTTCTTCATCTTGAAAGGTTGCAGCATGGATCAAGCCGCATTGGGCCATCGGCGAGTGCCATGCACCTTGGGTATGAAGACTGCTGTCTATGAATATTCAAATTTGCATGCCAGCCACTGTCTATATCGCCAAAGCAGCAACACGTGTGGCCAGCACTAGAAGCACACTACATGCAGCATGTTCAATGGGCGTAGCGGAGTGCAGAGATGCGCCTGCTGCCTGCTGTTGCCCGCGCCCCAAACAGCATCTGAGCAGTCCAAGGATCATGAGTCGTGAAGCATGGGACATGCAGCGGCAGGTGTTTGGCGTGGAGCTGCCGATTTTTGCACAGCAAGCTCGGCGACAAAGCCTACCCCTCAGCAGCTGGCAAATGGCAGACAGCATCTGGAACAATGGACATTGCTTTTGCGTTCAGGCCCCCTTGGCATTTCAAGCTGTGATCCTGGATGCGACATGTGAGCCAAGCGCCAAACGAATTGCAAGCCGTCGCCGGCAATTTCTGCAGCTGACCCTCAGATTTTGCACATCAGTTTTCAACTCGCACTTCAATACAGGCACTTTGACAGGATGAAAGGTGGTGCATTGGGGGGTCGGTCATTGGAAGCCTCATCGGTCACCATGTGTGTGCAGCATACGACTTTCCTCCCGTGTGCTCAACATGCTGAACGCCCGGATCACCACACCACGCACGAATCCAGCTTTGGGTCCTGTTCCTGAGATGCTGTACACAGCAAGCATAGCAATCACAGGACGCCTGTCCCATTAAAGTCATTAAAGGCCTGCATTAGCCATGCGTCACGCTTCTTATGTCGGAGATCACGACTGCCACTCACGCACCAGGCTTCCGCGTGTGCACATGCACCTGTGCGTGCCACATGTTACGTACTGCAACAAGTTTCAACGGCTTAAGAGACAGACGGTGTGTACGTGTATTGCGTCACGTAAGCCAAATGCGCCCTATAAGCCTAGAAAGCCCGATAAGCCATAAGCCTCAAGCTCCCAACCCTGCATGAGCCATTGATCCTAACAAGGGAACAGAATTTGGAACACCCCTACAACTTGGCATGTTCCCCTGATACTAACAGTCCTGAATAGGAATGATACAAAGGAGTGCTATATCATCCCTACTAAGGACTGCTCGTAGAAGGGGAACATCCCAAGCTACAGCCCTAAAGCCCTCCAAAATGGGATCTAAGGATTGCCACATCTCTGGCAAGTCCCGCCCTCGCTCGGGGTGCATCCCCCCGGGAGCTGCTGCTTGCGCGCCTCCAGGAACGGGCCTTTTGGCGAACGAAAGCGCTGCAGAAGGGGCCCAGGGTTTATTAGGGTACCTGTTTGGGGCTGTTACAGTGTTTAAGGGATTCGCCAGCCGAAGACGGAGGAAATGCCCACATGGGCCGGGTTTCTATATCGAGGTTCTAGGGAGGGGGGCAGTGACAGTGATAAGGGACCTCATTGAGAACAACACCCGCATGGCGCGGGGCAAGGTGTTAGGTGTAAGTGCACGCTCCGTATGAAATTCTCGTGCGTGCCGTGTCCACCGACGGAAGCTAATCCTCCACACCACCTGACCGGCCTCGTTGCCACCAGAAACCTTCAGTGCCAGCAGCACTCAGGTGGACCTGGCTCGTTTAGATGCTGCGGGAGCTCCTCTCACGCCGGTGGGCCTCGACCCTGCAACGGCCAAAGACGCTTGGACAGTCAGTCTTCTTGATTCCCGGGAAACCACACGTCAACATCATCTTGTGCTCAAGTGGCCCATCATTGTCTGTTCACCATTGTTTGGGTTGCAACGGCGGAGCCGTGTACTGAACCCTGCTGACTAGCTGGCCAGGCCTTGCAAAGGTTTTGCAGTCACGCTTATATGTAGCTGTCCGAGGGCTTCATGAGCTTAGCTGCCGACATCTGGCATGTCTACTGAGGAGCTGAGGAGTCTCGCTGAGACGTCGCCCGATTGCAAGCTATGGCTTTCTCGTGCTGCCTTTCGGCAGGATTTTCCTGTTTTATCAGGACATGTAGGGTTGCGCTCCGGCCAGGGCATTCTCCCCCTCCCCGGAGGGGGGGGGGTGGTCATTGTGGTGTGGTTATGAACTGATTTAGGGTGTTGGTTTTTGGGTTCTGGCCCAAATGCCAAAGGGTAGCTACTGAGCAGTGAATTTGTAATTCCTTTGGTGAATGGCAGATAGACGCACGTCGCGGCTCATATGCTGCGACTTTCCGAGTTGGTGCACCGCGCAGGAAGCTTAGATTCAGGCTTGAAACGATGCTGCATCGATACGAGTGCAGCGCGATTCGGGTTTTCAGAGGTTTGCAGAGCTCGTTTCTGAGCGCCAGCGCAAGGCCATCATGCGAAGTTGCGATGAAGCTGTCCGAGAGTTTCGCTGGTTCAGCTGAGTCTTCCTCAGCGGTCCCCGCGACATCAGACAAGAACAACGACGACAATGACATGCGGTGAAAATTCGGGCCCCTGCCGTCTTTCTGAAGCGTTCTCTGTCAAGCAGCTAATGCCAGCGAAGACTTGGGCGGCCTCCGGCAAGTACATCAGCACTTGCGAACTGTCTTGAAAAGGGACAACTGGGTCATTGCCAGAAACCAAACGACGCGCTTGGTACATCCGCCTCTCTCTTGAGCTGGGTCAGGCCATCAGCGATCTCGAAAGAGGTCTGTCGCTCGAAGGAACATTTCGAGAGATTGAGAAACAGGGTGTTGGATGATTCATTGGCCTGACACATGACTCCTTGATTTGTCCTGGCACCCTACCGGACACGCGCGTTTTCGTTGTACATGTGAAAGTCACATGGCGCGTGGTACCAGCATCAGCCGCTGCGCGCAGCCTGGCTGCAAGGAGCCCCAGATGCAAAAAGGGTTTTAGTGTTTGGCAGTTTTTGGGTTGCAGGGCGTATCGGGTGTCCCAGCTGCAAAAAGGGTTCCATGGTCTTTAAGGTTTTATGTTTCAGAGCATGAGGGTGTAGGGTTTAAGGGCCTAAGGCTTAGTTAGGGTTTAGGGTTGGGGAGAGGGGATACAGGTGGGAGGCGGGGGTCGGCCGTATGTTTAGACAGTTTCACAGTGTTGGCATGACGAGGTTAGAAGCCAGCTTTTCCTCGCAAAGAAACATCCTCCAGGACAGGCCAGAGCTGTCAGTAGAACCAGGTGCTAAGCACGCACACGTAGCCGACTCCGTATTCGGTCCCTCCCTCTCTCTCTCTCTCTCTCTCTCTCTCTCTCGCTTTCCCCCTAAACCCTACGTAAACCTTAAACCCTAAGCCCTAAACCCTGAACCCGAAACCTTAAACCACTCACTCGCTCGAACAGGATCCGGGCAAACTGAAGCAGTTGAGCGGGAGGTGGCGACTCCCGACCAAAATGTCTTTAGAAGGCTCGCCGCGCGAGTACCCAGCATGGCTGGGCAAACAAAGCCTCGAGCTCAGGATTGCTTTTCTCCGATGCTCCGGAGATCACTGGATTGGCGAACTTGCCATTGGGCCTAGCGGTGGGCCCTGTCTACCAACCTATTGATGTAGCGCAGCTTGGATAGCATTCAGACAATAGGTTTCGAATTCCGCGGATAATTAAGGGTTGTTCTGAGTCATGAATTTGTTTTTTGCTCGTCATTAGTTTCTTGTGTGGGTCCTAGGCACGACAAGTTTTTGTAAGGGGTGCAGAATCTCCGAACAGCCCCTAGATTCCCTAGATGAGGTCCAAGACCTTCGAGAACCAGTCGCCCATCGTCCAAAAGCTCGGTCTTGCACCTTGCCGGTGACACAGTGACCCTAAACTCTAAACCCTAAACCTGACACAGTGCCAAGGGAGCCCGACGTCCTGAAATGTGGGAGTCTTTGGGAGTATCCCCTAAACTATAATTGGTCCCCGGTGTCCTCATATTGTCGATTCATGTACATTCCTCTATTAACCGGTCTTTTGGAGATGAAATGACAAAACACACATTTGATATCTTGAGTTTTACATACATACATATATATATATATATAATATTAACATATACATATATATATATATATTCTGTTTATTGTTCTGATTATTGTTTTTGTTATTACACATAGTTCTTCCTGCATATCTTTGAGGTGAAGGGCAACCTTCGTGTGGTTGGCACGTTTGCCGCGGCTCCTCCCCGCTCGGTGAATGCCGCGGGCGTGGTGAACACGGCTGGGAACCGTGCCTCGGCCCGGCTACTGCATTGCAGCTTTAGTCTTTACGGTTTTGGGTTCAGGTATGAATTGCGATTTCGAGGCAGCCCAGCCACGTGAGTCAAAAGTCGAACTGCCCCAATTCTAGTGTGGAGTGTCCAGGTATTGACGTCAACTTCGAGCGCCTTGTGCTACCTGGTTACGCACCCAAATACCTTATGGGCGTTTCAGGCATGCTAGGCCACTGCTTCTGCCCCTGTGGAGCCGCTTGCCCCCGCAAGAGGTTTTCAGTGGATCGGCTAGCTGGCCTCTCCACAGGCAGCTTGGCAGAGATGGCCTAAGCCCTAAACCCTAAACCACATGAGCATGCGAGTGGCGAGGCGAAAGGCGCGCAAGTTGCCTCGGTTTGGTTTCCGCAGGCTCCCTCCTGCAAAAAGTGGCCACACCCACACGCGCCGAGAACGATCCCCAGCCGGCCATTGACGCGGTGCTGGCACTGGAAGTTGTTTAGTGTTGTTTATATCCCTCACTACTCCCGCCAGGGACCAAGGTCGGGCAAGTTCTGGCCGGTGTGAAGCTGAACGTGTTTTGACTGGCTGTTTCGAGGCTTCGTCCGCTAGATGGTGTAACTAGTACCGTTCTTCTTCTGTGCGCTAGAAAACCCACGGTTTGCCCAGGGAACCCCGTACCCTGAAAATTGCGGAGTATATAGATCTTATCTCACTATGTATGTATGTATAAATAAAAATAAATAAATAAATAAATAAATAAATAAATATATATATATATATATGTACACAAATGAAGACAAGTAGCTTTAGTAAAGACTATAGGGTTTCCATACCGTACAAGGGTCTTCCGGGCCCCGGTACGCTGCAGATTTTGCCATCTTTGGTGCGGGCATAGTCTTGGTGGCCATGCTCCGAAGCCTCGGTCGCTTGTCTTCGCTCAGCGAGTTCTCGCAACCGGTTTAGGGTTTAGGGATGTTTAGGGTTTAGGGTTCAGGGTTCAGGGTTTAGGGTTTAGGGTTTAGGGATAACTAGGGTTGAGGTTTAGGGTTTAGGGATCCTGATGTTTTTAGGTTTATCGGGTTTTCGGTTTGAGGGTAGCTGAAAGAGCCTGATCCTCCTAGGAGCAGTCTCCTTAGCCGGCGTTGCGTTGGCCGACTGGCCCACACCCAACTGGCATGGCTGCGTGGATCCCAAGGCACAGAGTTTGGGACCGTTGGGAAGTGACGACATTGATGTTGCGTTTCTTTGCCTCCAGAAGGGTGTAGATTCCATGACCCAGCAATCGCTTTCCCGCTTTGCTGACTCCTCGTCAGCTCTCCACATCACGCCCCACTGCCTCTCTCATAAATTTACATCGTCTGTATACGCATAAGTATCGGGCGGAAGACTCAGGCGCTCAGGCATCCGTTCAGAGGCACCCCAAAGTACGATCTCAGAGACCGGGGGACTCTGCTGGGGAAGCTCGCGGGGCTCCTCTACTGTAGTGGCAGCCGCAGTGAACTTTAGCATCTCTTCTTGTGGTCGGTTGGGGTACCACTTTTTTTCGATTGCCCTTTTAAAAGTACAACTATGTACGACTGGAAGCCTACCAGAAGCCAAGCACACTCTGGAATGTTTGCCGGCGCGTACTTGGAGGTTCATGGTACTTAGTAACTAGATATAACTGTACTTATAACCGTCATTATAACTATATTAGGGCACTTAAGGGGCTTGTAAGTGGGTTATAAGTACAGTTATAATTAGTTGCTAAGTACCATGAACCTCCAAGTAGTGTCACTAGTGTTACCTTGTCCATATTATCCACCTGGGATGTATGATTCCAAGCTTCGGGTTCATGTAGTCTTTCTTAAGGTTGCAACATGCTCATCAGGCCGTCGCCCTGCCCTACTGCAACACCCGCCTCTCCATCAAGGAACGCTCTGCGGCTGCGGTATGCAAGGGGGCTTGTAGAAGAGGAGGGTGTGAGGGCCCACAACTGGGGCGTTAATTTCAAGGGCTGTGTCACGTACACTTTCCGCAGAGATGCTGAATGATGCTGCCGGGGTGCAGAAACGTTGGTTTTGGAAGTGCTGCGTGTGTGTACATGGACTCTATGGAATACGCAAGGTTTGGACGACTTGATGTCGCGCCTCGACCGGGACGACAAGATCCGCCAGATCACCCCGGACAGCAAGATCGGAGGCATTCCCGTCTTTCAAGCCAATATAACAACAAAGTAGTCGCACAAGATTGGACATATTACCAACCACTCTATACTGTACTAATATGATAGTATCATGATCTGATAACATCCCCTTCTTGGTGGCTGGGAGTTGCTGTGCAGCGCTGCCAGGAACATGCACCACCTTCACGACGGGCAAGGAGGAGATTGGGCTTCCTCCCTGGCTTTGGCTGGTCGAATCCAACACCGGCAACGGACTCGGCTTTCTCGAGGTTTAGGGTTTAGGTTGCCTTGTTCCGCGCCGCCCTCGGAATCAGTGGTTGGCCTTGTTGTCCAGTTGAAGCTGAAGTGGGCATGAACGCAGATCTTCCGCCACAGCACATCGGGTTCCTTAGTCAGAATTCCGGCAACGCCCTCAGTTTGGCGGCAAAAAGGGTTTACGGTTTAGGCGGGCATCTGGCAGTGAGCAAGTCGAAAGGGATTACGGTTTAGGGTCTAGGGACGCCTCTGATCCCACTTACTGCACGTCGGGTCGTAATCGTGCAGCAGCAAACCCTGAGGCGTGGATGCAGCATGCCCGGCTGAAGGTCATTGTGTGACAAATTTCGCCTCTGGGCGGCATTCGATACCCCCCCCCCAAGAGCCTTGCAGCCTTCAATAGGGTCAAGCAGCCTGTTCAGCATGGCCTGCATACCAGCCATGATGCTCACATTGTTGAGCACAAGAGCATGATACGTTAAACAATGGCACCATGCAGTAAACAATGCCAAAGCACTGCGCGCCTGAAGAAGTCTTGCAGTCAAGTACGTTGACTGGGCAGTGTCTCAAGATCCGAACCCTCGATCTCCCCAGAACCTTCAGTCAGGCTGGGCCTATGGGCATGGCTGCATCCTTCAACCAGTCCTCCTGGTTCCTCAAGGGTAAGGCCTCCATTGTTGCCGCGTTGGGGCACTAGAAGTGGGCCTAAAAATGCTAAGTTTGAACAATCCCCCCCCTCCCCGCGTACGGCACCAACTCAGCAGTTCCCTTTCATTTTTTTTTCGTTCGTGGAACCTCGGCCAGTCCACCACAGCCATGTGCCCCAGCCGATGTAGTACACGCACGCATTGACCACAGCAACACAGCCCAATCCGATGGGGATCTCGACCAAGATCTGTCAAGGCAAAGTCTTATTCAGCACCTTCTAAACGATCCCCCAGCGCACCTGGCCAGAATCTTATCCTAACCTTCTGCCCTGGAACATGTGACAAGCTGCCCTCAAGAGGGATAACCGTGATGGGGACACCAAATCCGGGATAACCGTAAACCACACAGCTTTTGATCGACAAAGTTGGTGGTCATTGCCCGGGAACTCGCCGCCCTGAGCCTTAAAGCCAAGAAAACCCTAAACCCTGCTCACAGAAAGGGTGAAAAGGGGTGTTTTAGCCGCCCCAAACCTCACGTGCCTTCTTTTGTCGGAATCCCTGCGGAGTGGTTCGTCCAGCCATGCGGGTGCCGAGAAATCCTGAACCCTAGAACCCCTAACCCTATAAACCCTAAAACCTAAACCCGAAACTTTAGACTGTGCGCTGTTGTCACCCTAAACCCTAAACCCTAAACCCTAGGGTTTGAGAGCGCGTGCCAAACCCTAAACCCTAAACCCTATAGACCCTAAACCCTGGGCAGGTCTTGGGCACAGAGCAACGTGCTCTCTCCAACTATGGCGGCTCGCGCTTCGAACGGGATCACAAGAATCCAGTGCGCCACGTCCGACACCGGCCCTCAAGAATCCGAAAGCCTACCTTGTTTTGTGTAGGTTGTGCGTATTATGAGCCCCTTTATAAGAACCCCAAAACTTACTTCGTTTGTAGGGTTCTTAGTAGAAGGCCCTTATAGGATTCCTACAACAAGGTACTGGGGGTTTCGGGTTCTTAGGTATGACTCAGGAAGGTTTCTTGGCATGCTTGATTGATACCGCAGGCGCGATCACCTACCGTGTAAGTCTGCGAACTTGCCCATGCACGTGTTTTCCACAGAGAAGGTATGGGGGTTTCCGATAATAATGGACCCCAATATAAAGGGGCAGAAATAGTAGGATCCATAAAAAAGGACCCCAATAAGGTACCCCGAATATCGTAAACCACCCACCATGTGAATCCAAAAGGGAACCCAGAAATGAAGTTGGAACGTACATCAGCGGCTGCAATGATGCTGCAAGGGCGCACAGCGTTAAAAAAAGAACCGGAGAAAGCGAATGGTGACTTTGGGTGACCTAGAAAAGCTTCCCACTCAATGAACAGCTTCCACGTTGGCAGAGGGTCCCGACCAAGTTGCAGCTGTCAAATAGCATATTGTGCATTATCTTGCGAGACGCCGGAATCTGTGCAAACACGTGGGGCTGTTTAACGAGGCTGATTTCAATGAAGTTCGGCCGGTCCTTTGCGAGTCTGTCTCAACACTTGAGTGTGAGGAACGTGCTGGGACTGATACTTTGTGGAAACGAAGCTTTGCCTGCCCTGCCCGTGCGTCCGTGCGTGCGTGCGTGCGTGGGTGTGTGTGTGTGTGTGCTCGCGCGAAAGTCGGAACCCTTGAAGCCCTTGAGGTGCTTGACCGGCTTCGGCCCGAACATCAACATAGCAACTCGACACTTTGTGGGATCTAGTTTTCCCTTTTTCGTAGGTCAATTTTGAAAAGCTTTGAATTGGGATGTTCCCCCTTCTACTAACCGTCCCTAGTAGGGATGATAATTGCTTATAATCGGGGTTACCATAATCCCTCTTAAGGGTTGTTAATTATAAGGGGGAACACCCCAAACTTTAGGGTTTAGGGTTTAAAGGTTCAAAAAAACACCAACCTGAGGCGAGGGATCCACGCTTCGGTCGCACTTCCGAGCTCGCGGGCGAAGATCCACTCCTTAGCACCCGGGCGCCGTTTCATCTGGCGTCTTGTTTTATGAGACATGTTTTTGGAACTTTGTGGAGTTTGAGTAGGTGGCCACATTTTTTTGGAGACTTCTTGGTTTACGTAAGGCCAAGTTCCGAGGTTGCGGGTCTTTTCCATCGCTCGGGCTTCGCATCTCAAAGTTGCTGCCAGTTCAGTAGGGATTGCGTAGAGTTTGGGTGCTGTTGCGTAGAGGCGGTTTGCGGCAAACAGCGTTGCTGGGCCTCTGCCTGGGCTCAACATGGATTCGTTGGCACCAAGAGTAGATGGTTCCTCCTGTTGGAGAAAAACTGTCTTATTTCAACATGGGCTATCTTACATTTTGGCTGGTGCAGGGTAAGACATGGGACCCTGGGAGTTGGTTGCAACCACAAAGGCGGGACGTACGCCATGAACATGGTGAAGGGTATGCAGGAAAAGGACAGTTCGGGCCACAAGAAGATCGCGGCCTATTTGCAGCTTGGTTTACATCTTCATTGCAGAAGTCATCAACGTAGAAAGTTGCAGCCTGCTTCTTTTCATGCAGGAAGCATTACACCGCCTACTCCACAGAGGCGAACCGGGGCCATGATACGTTGCCGGGCAGCAGGAACAGCAGAAACCTGCGTCGCGCCTGCGTCTGGAGCTGGCTGTTTCGAGGTATAACATTTCTACGTTTGACTTCTTTGAAACCTACCTCGCCCAGTACAAGCTGGCTTTTACGGCGCAGCCCGCAGGCAGAGCCCTCATGGCACATATTCAGATTTTGTTGCTTCTCCACTTGCAGACAACTTGCAGAGGCGTTATGTGCTCCTACAATGCTGAGAACGGACGCCCTTCCTGTGCCAACGACTTCATCCTGAACAAGCAGCTGCGGAGCTGGAAGCCAGCCACCCAATGGCAACTGGGGGTTTACGAAAAGTAGGGACCCCTAAAATAACCCCAAATAGTAGAGTTCCCTTAAACATAGAACTCCAACAAGGTACCCCTAATTTTGGGAAACCCCCCACTCTGCGTGTAAGCCTGCTCGGAACCGGACTGTGAGTTCGTCGGGTATACGCTCTGCAATCCCAGGCAGAAGTTAAGCTAGAACGGGCCCAGGATTTAGGGTTTAGGGTTTAGGGGTTCAGGGTTGTTTCAGATGTCCTCTTTCATGCTGCAAACCATTCGCATTCACATTCGTACTGATGCTTTCATTTTGGACATGTCTCCCCGAGCACGAGTCTTGGAGAGCAGTGTCCATCTTTCAGTGTGCTGGCGCCAACCTCAGTCCATGCTTCAAAAAAGGTTTAGGGTTTAGAGTGTAAGGCAGTTTCGCTGGGCAGCAAAGGATGCACATGTCACCACCGACTGCGGTGCCGTGAACAACTTGAGCCTGGGATATTTTTCGATTGGAGATCCCGAACCCTCCCCCCCCCTATATACACACATCAAAAATAATGTGTACAGTTCTTGCATTCATCCCCCCCCCCCCCCCCCCCCCGCCCCCCAGAAAGGTTGGGATTTTTAATCAACCCCAAGGAAGGGCCCGCCCGTGAACGCACCGGACGATGCCCACGCAGCTGCGATGGCGCTGATGAATGGAACTGACCTTGAGAAGCTGGGCTGGGAGTAGTAGGATCCCGTTTAGAGTAGGACCCCAATAAGGTACCCCTAATTTCGGGAACACCCATATAGCATGACGATTCACGACGCGCATAGTGCAGCTTAGAAGCCTCCAAGTGTTGCCCGGTAGTGGTGGCTGCGGTCGCAGTTCATGCTTAGTCAACAGTGTCGCTGCCCATCATGCTCGGAACCCCAGCCTCCACAGAACGAACAACTGTCAAAGCATACCCCTTTGCCAAAAGCGGCTCCTTTCTTCCGAGGATGGGCGACACCCTCTTCTCCTCCCTCTCCCAGGCCATCGACATGGGCCTCGCAACTGAAGCACGGCTGACGGAGGCTCAAGCCGGGATTAGGGTGCAGGGGTTGAAGGCTTCGGGTTCATTATCCTTCCGCCACGAAGGCCAACGCTAAAGTTTCTGATGGCACAAGCACTTTGTGGATACAGTGGTGATGGGGTCACGCACTTTACGTCTAGGGGCGGGGTCAAGAACAAGGAAGCTCAAGGAACTGCCACGAAGCACACCCAACCTGCAAGAGGCACCCGCATGCTTTCCATAGCAGCGAGCCGCCAAACTTATTGGGGCCGATATACTGAGCCCTAGAAACCGATCCACCATAAATCTTTGATGCGTAAGGTTATCACCATTCGTACCCTACTTACAACCCTACTTCTAAGCAATCTAATGAACCTCCAAGTAGAAATCCCAAACCCTAAACTCTAAACCCTAAGCCCTAAACCCTAAACCTCCAAGTAGGCCAGGCCCAAAACTGCACACTTCAGCCGCCAGGCCGTGCGGCGCTCTTTCCAAGTTCAGTTTGAAGTGGGGCGCTTCGATCCGCCAAACAGCACAGAGTTTCATCAGCCGCCTGCCTTATTGTGATATTAGCCGATATTGTATGACATTATATGAGATCATATTATGTTAGAGATGATGTTGTCGGATATGATATGATATGATGTAATACTTATCTGCTGAATGAGGCAGCAAGACTCGTGTGACATGGCCTTGCCCTCGGCTTGCCCTCGGCGCATCCAAGGTACGGAGTGCAGGATTTGAACAGCTCGCTACATCAGCGGATCTCATACGAAGCCGCCCTCCAGAGCTTCGTCTTACTGAAAAATGATGGCGCTCTTCCCATTCGCCCAAGGGCATCAGTGGCAGTTCTGGGCCCTCATTCCATGAGCCGGAGCCAGCTTTTCTCGGACTATGCCGCCGGGCACCACTGCTACGACGGCACGGATGCATGTGTGCCGTCGATCACTGAGGGCCTGAGCATGGCCAACCCGGAGGGTCAGACAGTTTCCAGCAAGGGCGTCGACATCAACAGCACCAAGGATGAAGGAATCCCAGCCGCCCTTGACGCGGCTCGAAAGGCCGACGTGGTGGTTCTGGCCCTGGGTGATGACAGGACGATCGAGACGGAGGGAAAGGACCGGACGGACACGGCGCTCCCAGGTTTGCAAGAGAGCTTCGCGCAGAAGGTGCTGGCCCTCAACAAGCCGACCATTCTTGTCCTGATTTCTGGTGGTCCCATGGCCATTGACTCCCTAACCACTCGGGCAGCTGCTCCTTACGCCATTGTGCAGGCCTTCTTCCCCAGCCACAAGGGTGCCCAAGCCCTTGGGGCCACTTTCTTTGGAAAGGAAAACCGCTGGGGCAAGCTGCCTGTTACCATGTACCCACACAAGTACATCTTTGAGCAGCCCATGACCAACTACGACATGTCCCGGGCGCCCGGGCGCACGTACAAGTACTACCAGGGCGCCGCGCTCTTCCCGCTTCTTACTGTTGGTTAATATAGGGAAAGAGGGAATGAGGTACCCTACATCCCCCTATATATACCTCAAGGGATTATATAGGGTACCTCAATGAGGTACCCTATATCCCCCTATATCTACCCTTTAAGGGATTATCGAGTACCTCATTCCCTCATGCCCTACCAAGCAACAGTAAGGTTTGGGCATGGCCTGTCCCTGACCACCTTCGAGCTGCAGTGCGCCCAGCGGGCGCGAGGCGCGGAGCTGGCAAGCCTTGCCTTCCATTGTGCCCTGGCAGCCTTAGCAGCGGAGAAGGCAGTATGAAGGTTGCCCGAATTTGGGGTAGTAGTAGAAATCCCTGTATGAAAATCACAAATAATGTCACAGGGTTGAGGTTACTTTTTCCCAAGAAAACAGCGGAAACTGGACAAGTAAGGCAAGGTGAGCAACACTGGGAGCCTGGATGGTGATGAGGTTGTTCAAGTCTACCATGCGGCCGTTGACATCGGCAAGGTGGACCATCCAGTGCCCAAGCGTGCCCTAAGAAGCTTCCAGCGTGTGCGCGTGCACGCTGGGAAAGTGGACAGCGTCTCCTTCGACTTCGACAGCTCCATTCTGGAGGTGGTGAACAAGGCACGGAGGGCCAGTGCAGAAAACAGGCTTCTCCCCGTAATTGGGGCGACAGTGCCAATTGCACAGATTGTAACCTGGCTTTGGGTGTGAGGGTGGCTGTTTGGGAAGAGCTCCCCTCCCATTCTTCCTTGCGAAACAAATCTTTTGTGCATTGTCCGAGTGATTCCGAGTGATGGTTCCGGACTGTTGCCATTGCAATTAGTAGCGCTTTCGAAGTGCTCGAGAGGCACCACAAGGTACTGGGTCAAAGTTCGGCTTCTACTTGGAGCCTCACGGGTACCTACAAGTAGGGCTCGGGTTAAGGGAACCTTCTTGCTTACAATTTTATCTCGGGTACTTAGAACCTTACTTCCAGGTACCCCCTGAAACCCGAAACCCTACCTATAATTCTCGATGAACCTCCAAGTAGACCGCAACTCCTTGTCGGGCCTGGAGGCCGAAAGGTTGACAGTGTGGGATTAGGGATTAGGGATTAGGGTTTAGGGTTTAGGGTTTAGGGGGACAAGGCCAAGCGCGCCATGTTTTTGCCTTGGTTTGCTCTCCCGTGCTTGCCATTGCCTTTTTCGCATCCCCTTCAGAGTGCCCGACATGTCTTCCTACATATTGCAGGTTGCTACCAATTTTACATAATACCTAACCTGAACATGTCAACAACCTGATTTTGTCAATGTTCAGACGTTATTATTAACGTTTGTAGTGTCAGTGTGGCCGTGCAAGTCGAACAGGATGGTGAGCAGAAGCTGTATCCGGGCAAACACACTCTCATCTTCTCTCGAGGGGCTGCCGCTTGGAGATGTTTGGGCGCCACGGTTTAGGGTTTAGGGTTACGGGTTTAGGGGTCTGTGTTTGGGATCCCAAGTGCACGGCGCACTGCATAAAGACAGGTCGAGGATGAGCAGGTCTTCCAGATCACCGTGCCAGCCGCTGAAGAGCTGGTCATTTGAAGATCACCTTGTAGTTGCGTAATGTAGTTTGGTTTTGCGGCAGCCTTGCCGGTTCGTAGTCCCAGCGAGCTCGTTTGGAGCCGGAGGCTTTACACTGCAATTTGTCTTGTGGCGACTGGTGTCTAATTTGTTGGGACACAAGAACTATGACTTTTCGATTGCCATATCGCTACATGGCCAATTGGACATTGCTCAAGACGCGAAGCTGTCAGATTCAGTGCGCTTGAGAGCAAAAGGCCCTCAAGGCCCTCAGTGCAGCTTTCGTGTCTCGCTGAGAGCCTCCGTCGCCTGCCCAACCCAACCCAAGCCAAGCCAACCTAACCCAACCCAAGCCACCCCACCCGCATCCACCCGCAGTTTCACTTCGGAACGCGATGACCGCAGTGGCATCTCAGGACATAACTTACTTGGACGACTTCCTCCGCATTACCAGGGGAGGTGATGGATCTCTCTTTGTGCTCGTGAAAGAGAGTGCAACAGGCCGGCTGGGCCGTGGCGTTCCACATCAATGTCGCTGGCTGATGGTCCTGACTATAAGGGGATCCTACTATTTGGGGGTCTATACTAGGGCCGCACAGTTCATGTGCAGGCCCAGATGCGGCGACTCGCGAAGAGCTCGTCAAGAAGGACCGAGCAGGGCGGCAGAAGTGCAGCTGTCTCCGGGCCTCCACGATCAGAATCCCATTGGATGACGCTCGCACCCTTGAAAGTGCTGGAGGAGAGCCTTACAGGCCCTGCTCGTTGTGAAAGTCGTCATGAAATTAGCCAAATTATCAGACCCATGGGATCATGAGGGTTCTGCCTTCTGAGTTTTATAGTTCTTTGGAAATGGGTGTGCGACGAAGCGTCGTCGAAAATGTGCCTGACGGCCCTGCTACGCGCAAGGGTAAGCCAAGTTTTACAACCGAAGAGGATCAAGGAGAGGCGAAGAGCAGTATACTTGGATGGATTGGCCTTGGGATGAAGAGTCCAGATGTGAAAGAATGTGAGAGCGGCAGATCGCAGGCCCTCCAGAAAGTGAGCAATCGAGAACGAGCGAGAAAAAGCGCATGCCGCAACCTCTTGCCAACAAAAGCGGTTTGCGGGTCGTAGGGCAAAGGCGCAGGGGTCCAGTCGATCCATGCAGAAGCATGTGGCTTGAAAGTCTGCGAGGCTTGTCCACCCTTTGAAGTGAGCTTTTGTGCTTCTTCCTAGGCTGTTGGTTGCAGGAATGGTTGGGGCATTTATCGGAATGTTGCTGCTCATGTGCAGAAGTTCTATGCAGAGCAGCGTGCGGACTGAAAGCTGCTTGTCCCAACGCGAGGAGTCAGGCGAGACAGTGATGCAGGTCCGGCAAGGGGTGCAATGAAGCAATCGATCCCATACAGTGCAGGCTTCGTACAGGTGCTGTAAGTTGAAATGTGAAGCCAGATGCTAGAACATACTCCAAAGAATATGCCGAAACGAGTTTGCCACAGTGCAGGGCGACGGTGCCATCCGCTGGATCAGCAGCCTGGGCCTGGGATCATGAGGCAGGGGATCTCTGCAAGGGGTGGTTGTCCTAAACCAGGGTCCAGGCGCCTCGGACATAGCTTCTGCTGCAGTCGAGACAGTGAGGAACCCCCAGAACACATGTCTCTGGGCAGCGACATGTTCATGGCGCATCTGTGCTGTATTCGGGGTCCTTATAATTAGAGTCCTGGTGATGGGAAACTACTATTTGCTTAAGAGCCCCCGCCAAAAAAAATGAAGAATAAAATGGTCCCTACATTGCCCTTATAAGGAAGAATATAGGTTGGGGGTTCTGAAGCAAAAGTAGGAAAGACGTCACAGCTCCGATGGTCAGGCTGAGGCACGGTGTGGTGGGCGCCCCTCAATCTCCGCTGGAAGCTGCCAGCTGTAAGGGGAGAAAAAGACCCCCCAGATCCACGACGCCCCGGCTGTCACGAACATAAGCCCTAAACCCCAAACCCTAAACCCTAAACCCTAACCCTAGACCCTAAACCCCAAACCCTAAACCCCAAACCCTAAACCCTAAACCCGTGCCGCTTCATGTATGTCTCTCTGCCGAGTGCACCTCGTTCGAGCATCCCCCGGGTGGGCACATGGGACATGCAAACCAAGCCAGAGCCACCGCATCCAGCACAGCCCACCTTGCGAAGCCAGCCTTAAAGACCTACAGTTCCCCAGCAGCTTGAGCCTCCACCCCCCCCCCCCTGAACCCCCTGAACCCCATAGCATGCCAAGAGTCCGAGACCCTTAGAGCCTTGCACAAGCCCTATAAGACTCAACTTGAAACCCCGAAACTCGAAGACTCAGACAGGAAAAGCAAGTGAGAGAGAGAGAGAGAGAGAGACAGAGAGAGACATCCTGGGGAACCCCAAGCAGCCACACAGCCACTCGCAGAGCCTCCCGGGGATGGCTCTGAGCGACTCCGCCCTGTGAGCTTCCGAGGTCCGGGGGCGCCTTTGAGGGCGCTTTACGGGTTTTTGTGGGGGGAATTTTGGAAGAAACCCCCCTCAACCAGAATTCCTGAAAGGGTGGTGTGGGGGGGGCAGTAAGAGGCCTCTAGGTCCCTGTTGAGGGGGAGCTTCCCTCCAATAGAAATTCCTGATAGGGTGGCGTAGGGGAAGCAAGAGGCCTCTCGTTCCCTGTTAAGCTTAGTTCAGGGTGGCCGAAGGCATCTTAGGGGTGGTCTGAGGATGCTCTGGGAGCTGAGAGGCATGGGTGCGGTAGGCTTGGCTGGATTTCTGCTAGGTGGCCCTACTCAAAAACCCCCCCCAAGAACTACCCAGGAATCAATCTCCAAGTCCAAGCAGGGCAGCTTAGGGCAGATCTCGCCGTTACGTTCAGGGCACGGCTTCTGCTCTCACCCTACACCCTAAACCCTAAACTTTGAACTTTAAACCCAAAACCCTACACCCTAAACCCGAAACCCTAAACCCTAGCTTCTAAGCCCTAAACCCTAACCCTCAGGCCATGCCAGAGGAAAAGAGCACCAAGAGCAGTGGGAGCCAGCACCCCAGGTCTGTCAGGTTTTCATGTCGGGTTTCGGGTTTCGGGTTTTGGGTTTTGGGTTTAGGGTTCCCGCATTCCAGGGCTGAAGACGGTTCAAAAAGGTTTAAGGGGTCGTGTCATGCCGAGCACGTGGGCGGAATAACGTGGCAGCTTCGTACTCAGCATTTAGCTTGACTTGGAGTTGAGGGTTGAGGGTTTATGGTGTTGTAGAACTGGCACGTTGGGATCCCCTGACGAAATGCCACGTCTCCAGCACGCAGCAAAGATTCAGCATGTCCCATGTGGGAACGTAAATTACGGGTCCCTTGGGGGGGGGGGGGGCAATTCCAAGTTCCGGAGCCTTGTATGTAGGGTATGCGGAATGGGGATTATCATGCATTCTCTTGTTTGGGAAAAAGTGTAGATCCGGCCTTGGCTTGGAAGTGCTTACTTCCGAGCATGCTGACTTCGTGGGCCATTGCGAATGTAGTCTGCGGATGCAAGATCAAAGAAGCGGCCAAGGCAAAACCAGCAAAGAGAAGTCAGGCGCCGGGCGGAGGGGGGAGCCTCAACCCAAGCCAAACCCACGGAAGGTCGGTACTCGTAGTTTCAACAACAGAGCATGCAAGTTGAAAGGAAAGGCATTTGCGGGCTGTAATTACGAACCTGCCAGTGCTTGGAATGGCCACATAGCGTGAGTGATCTGGCTGACTGCGCCGATCTCGTATGGGTGCCAAGTCCAAAGCCAGAGAGCCAGTCCGTTGTAGTAGACCAAGTTCGAAGCTTAGCCCTTTGCTAAGTCATAGCTTTCCTTGAGCTTCTTGCCTGTTCCCGCGCACACAGCAGTCCAAGTCCGGGAGCAGACCCTTTGCTACCCTGTTGAAGAACTAGGTCGAGTCTTTGGAATACGGGCATGTCCCAGAGAGAGGGGACCCTGCATATACCCCAAGCTACTTTAAAGCCCTTTGAAACCCTAAACCCCTAAAGCCTAAACCTAACCCATTGCCCTAAATCTAGATTTCAGAGCAATTGATACGTGCAGAGGCGTGGCTTCTGGGACAGCCTCTGCGAGCGGTGTGGGCTCTCAGATCAGGTTTAGGAGAAGAGGGTTTAGGGGGGTTTAGGGTTTAGGGTTTAGGGTTTAGGGTTTAGGGTTTAGGGTTTAGGGTTTAGGGTACCAGCTTCAAAAGAGTTCGGGAACTTTCACAAATAAAGTCACAAGCCCAAAGGAGGCATTTTCCCGCGGCTTGCGATGTTGGGTCGGAGGGGGATCGAGAGAGAGACAGTGAGAGAGATAGAGAGAGAGAGAGAGAGACAGAGAGAGAGAGAGAGAGACAAACTGGACTCCCCGGGCTCTTTGAATGAAGGGGAGAAAGACACCCGAACTCAGGTGAGCGACCTGCGTGGGTCCAGCTCACAGCCAAGCTCCAGTGGTGGTCAGAATCCCAAAAGAAGCACCTGCCCGCCTGGAGCCTGGATTGGCTAGTGTCAGCTGGGATTGGGGCCTGAGGGTTAAGCCGAAGGGTTGAGTTTGTGAGAGAGGGAGGGAGAGGGAGGGAGAGAGAGGGAGGGACAGGGAGGGAGAGGGAGGGAGAGGGAGGGAGAGGGAGGGAGAGGGAGGATGGAGCCCGAAGACGCGCACCTCTGCGCGGGGGGTCTTCGCACCCCTCGTGCCCAGCAAGAGAAGATTGAGGGGTGAGGGATGTTGTGGGGGCGGAGGGGTGGGGGCTAGTATTACTTAGTGTCGAGTGCTTAAGGCTCATTTTTTCAGGATGCGTGGCCCTGTCCTTTGGCATGCGCCTTCTTCGGGAGTGCCTGGTTTACAGAAAGTCTGCCTCAGTGTCGTGAAGATGCCATTGCGTCTAAGTTTGCAGAGACGGGCATGAAAAGACATGTACACCCTCAGCTGCCAGACGGGCGGCAAAAGAAGCCCTGAACCCCTCACTCCTGACTTGTCCCCACAACCCGAAATTCACAAAACAAAGCCCGAAGCCCCCGAACCCACCTAGAGCCCTGAACCCTAAACCCTAAACCCTAAACCCCAAACCCTAAACCCTAAACCGCGCGCTCGCGCAAAGTATCGGCTCGAACCCGGGTACTGTCAGCCACCGGATGCAATATGCACCCATGCCTTGGCTTGCAGTTTGGGAGCCCTGGCTATGCCTGCCTACTTCTCTTCGCCTTCAGAACCCCCCACCAAAAAAAAAAACAGTGCTCCTTTTTTTAAGGGCAATTTGTGGACCGTTGTCTTTCTCTATTTTTTTTTTTGGGGGGTGGGGGGGGGGGGGGCGGGGGGTCCTTCAGCAAACGGTCTGAGGGTGTAGGGATTCAAGGATCCCTCGACGTTTGGACCCCCAAAGAGGCATGAGAAGTCACACCCAAACCCTCACCGATGCCCAATACTCGCACCAGCCCCAAGAAAAAGTTGCCAGAATCTTGTGGCCCCAAACCCCCCAAAACCCCGACAGTAAAGCCCAAAGCCACTGCAGGCCCCTGAGCCCTCCTCCCTAAACCCTAAACCCTAAACCGTTTAACCCTAAACCCTAAAGCTGAGCACTGCTGGCAGAGAGCGCGTGCCAAAACCCTAAACCCTAAACCAACCCTGAGCTGTGCAAGGAGCAATTCTTGCTTCTGTGAACTCCCGGGCCGGCTACATGCCTGCACCCCCTTGGGCTTGAGGAGGGTTCCTTTTGGCATGTTCCCCCTATACTAACACTCCCTAATAGCGACCCTCGTGCCCCCGATGAGAATCCCCATTAAGGATTAGTTTCAGGGGGAGCATCCCACAGGGTTTCTGTATAGGGGTTGGGAGGGTTGTTTTGGGGCTTTTGAGGGCGAAGGGCTTGGAGGGCTTAGGGTTTTGGAGGGTTTCTGAGAGAGTTCGGGGCCGGGGATTCTGGGCGGCTCCTCGTGTTGGTTTGAGAGGGAATGTGACAGGCAGGGCAGGGCAGGGCAGGGAGGAGTAAGTGGGCTGAACAATGAACAATGAACAAGGGGCGGAGAGGCTCTTGAACAATGTGCTTCTATAAACCAGCCCATACCAGACCCCTGGACACACTTAGGCAAGACGACAATGTGGAGCTCGTCGAGGATCAGATCAAAAAGGCCGAGCACCTTGGCAAAGTTAAAACACAAGCTGGTCATGTGGGCTCTCACACACGCACCAGAGCAATGAGGGGTGTCAGCAACCTTCAACGTCCCGTAGACTTCCGCCGAACCCCTTCACCGCAGCTCACAAAACGAAAGCGGAGGGCCTCATGATCCTAAACCCTAAACCCGACCGACCGAATCCTTGCCTGAATTGTGGGAGACTGAGAGCTGAAGCCCTATAAACCCTAAACTCCCTTCCCTCAAGCCATAGTTCCTTTCTTGCAAAGGATAGACAGGCCTGTGTCGGCATCGGATGGAGGGGAGCCACACCCGGAACCCGACTTGGGCTTGGGCTGCCAGGCAAAGAGAGAAAGATTTTTTACGACCGATTTTCTGGCGTGTAAATATAAATAAATAAGTAAAAAATCAATAAATAATTAAATAAATATACATATATGTGTGTGTATGTATATATATATATATATAAACATATAAAAAACCACATAAACAAAAAATATGTATAAACATATATATATATATATATATATATGTGTACGTATATATATATATATATACATATATACATATATATATATATATATGTATACATATATATATATATATGTATGTATATATATATATATATATTCATATATGTATCATATACGTACTAAGATGTGTGCTATACAATATATTTACACACTATTTGGTATATCATATGCCGTAAGCGTCGCCAGGCAATCAGTCGGGGCTGGAGTAGAGTGACTGCGTACATTCGAGGCTCCAGGATCGGCAAATCCCCAGGTTTGGCGTCTTCTGTCGTACTTTCCCTCCATAGGGGTTTAGGGTTTAGGGTTTAGGGGGGAACTTTGGATCAGATCCTTGAGGGGACTTGAAGACACCAGTGTCGTTGCTTACCTCAAGCCCCTAGCCTGGGGGGCAGCAATGACTGTTATGAGTGAGAGCATGACGAACAGGATCCCTCAAAGGGGTGCTGTGACCTCACATCCGACAGCTCACGACCGAAGCCCTCAACCCTTAAGCCCTAGTCTTTGGGTTCTAACTCCATCTCTCCCCCACCCTGGGAGCACCCCTGGAATACACACCTTGCAAGAGCTTAGGGTTCAGGATGAGGGGGTGTTGTTTTTTGAAACCCCTTCAGGGCGAGGTATGGCTTCAGGGTGAAGATGCTGCATTGCCGAGGGGAAGGATATGTTGTTGGGCTCCCGAAACCCTAAACCCCACAGACCCCAAACCCCAAACCCTAAACCCTAAACCCTAAACCCTAAACCCTAAACCCTAAACCCTAAACCCTGGCCCTAAACCCTTTTCAGAGCCCAGGCTTGGACTCAATCCCGCTCATCCGCTCGCGAACGCCCTCGGGCGACTTCCAGACGCAGACGTTTCACAGGCAGATCAGCCCGGTGGAGTTCAGCCGCGGCTCGCCCTCTGTTAGGGGTGCTGAGGGCCAACAGTTTGGGAGAAGGGAGAAGCAAAGAGTATACTAATAACATCAGATGATATTACCACTACTAGAACGTAATCTACTATTTTTGTATATAATGCAAGCAGTACGGTGCGGAGGCGAAGTCTATCGAAGGGTACCGGGGTTGAAGGCTTCGCGTTGTCTGTCCGACTCTGACCGGCCCTTGCGAGTGAAGCGGTTCTTTGGGCACCGTGTGCAAAGGAACCAGCTTAGGGTTTGGGGTTTTTAGGGTTTAGGGTTTAGGGTTTAGGGTTTAGGGTCTAGCCAGATAGGGCACCGACATGGCAAGAGGACCAGGATGCCTCAAGAGACCAGCTTCGCCCCTCTCCCTCCCTCCCATCATCCCCCCCCCCCCCCCGTCCTCGAGTGGCAGATGCGTTGCCCACGACCGACGGCCGAAAGGCAATTTCACTCACAATCTGACGTGGGAATTCGAGGTCCTCGAAGGTGAATGCCGGACACTTGCGGTGTTTCCAGTCTTGATGTTGCGCACATGCCTGACGCCACATTGCAGTGTAGTCGGCTGTATCTTCCACGCCATCATGTCTCAAGCCCGACATTGCTTGAGGCTCTCCGAAGAAGCTTGCCACATTGCTGAGGCCGGAGCTTTCCTTTGTGAACGCCTAAACACGGGCCCCTACTAGAATCCTGCGCCATTTCCTTTCAGCCTCCAGGATGTTGGGAGAGAAGAGCAAGAGCAACCTTCTTGACAACTCCAGGGACAGCACGCCGAAGGACCATCAACGCATGTTTCAAGATGCATGCGGCTGCTTCTGAACCTGACTCCACACTGTGCCCTTTGCATGGCATGCCTCCGCTTTTCTCTGCAGTTCTCATGGCAGCTGCCTGTGCTCAGCTTGCGGCCCAAGGTGCAAGCGCCTCTGATAGCGAACTTCGAGGAATAGGCAAGCATGAGGCTGCTCACATCTCAGGCCAGCCTGGCATTGCTGCAGGTGCCGGCGGTCCTGGCGGTGGCCTCAGGGGCTGAGGCCTGTGAGGACCACTCGCTGCTACAGCTAGGCAGTGGCCTGGGCTGCCCTCCAGTACCGCAGGTGAGCTGCCAGAACACGCTCGGCACCATGCACAATGGGCCCACCGCCGGCATGAAAAAGATGTCCAAGGCCATGCCGGATGTTGCCATCACCCCCGCGCACTGTCCTCTGTGCAGCACCCCTGGCGCCACAGCCTCTAGGATCTTCAATGGTGCCCTTTCCTCTGGTTTGTTGATTTCTAGAGTTGCTGGGGCAAGAAAGGGAGTCCCGTTTTTGTTGGTTGCCGGGTCGTTGGCGAACCGAGGCTGCGTTGTACAGCATTGAGCGGTTCGACGGCATGGGGCAGAGGGCAGCCCACCTCATTGTGATGATGGCACTTGCAAATCACTTGGGGCTCAATTTCGGGGGCCTCCTTCCGCACCCTTCCACTGAAGTTCATGGTGCAGACGTACATGCCTGTTTGAGCGCCGTTGTGGGTACCGATTACACAGCCCTGCGGAAGCGGGTGAGGCATGCCAGTTTTGATACTTGCTTTTTCGGTAGCCACGTTCTGCTCTCAACCCTTGGGGGAGGGAATCAAACCGTCGCCCCCGTCGGCCGGAACGTGTTGTTCCAGGAATGCGGGTTTGGCAAGGACATCGTCGGTTTCTTGACACCGGACTTCCTGGAGAAGTTGAGAAAGCACACGCTGCTGCTCACACAGCCAACCCCTTACTTCCTCCAGGACAAGCGCGCCCTCCGCGTCGCCGTCCATGTTCGCCGGGGGGACATCGACGTCTCGAGGCAGACGAACCGTGATGTGCCCAACAACGTCTACCTCCAGGTTGCAAGGGCCATCAAAGAGATGGCCCATGGCTTGACCGACATCCACGTCTTCAGCACCACCAAGGAGGGAACGCACGCAAGCAGCGACTTCGAGGCCTTTGAGGCTGCCGGCATGACGGTACCTTTCTCATAGTTTGGGTAGCATTTAAAAAACCTTTCAGGGTACTTAATGAACCTAATAAGGAATGAGCCACGTGTTTTTCTTTGGATATTTTTTGTATTATCCCAACCATGAAAGCTAGGTACACTTGAATGGTGATGAGCTGGGTGATCTGGCACACATGGCTCAGGCAGATGTTCTTGTGCAGGCCCCAAGCAGCTTCTCCTGGGTGGCTGGCGTCCTGAACTCGAACCTTTGTGTGATAGTGGGGTAACGTTCTACTACATGTTTTTAAGGGTACTTCAACTCAATAAGGAATAGGAATTTATGTTTTTTCATGCTCTCCCAAGCATGGGCCCAGGAATTGTGTGGTCTCTTTCAAGTCTTACCCTGGTGGATTGGAGAGTTGGTTCTACCATCACAGTGGAAGCTTCAAGAGTCAGGACGCGAAGCATCTCTCGCAGTGCATCCAGCACCGCTTGCAGACTGCAAGGCTGTAACAGCGCCGAGAACCGAATGGGTAGCCATCGTTCTAGTACGTGTAGGCAGACAGATTAAGCATACAGATTATTGACCTATGAGGTCTTGCTTCTCGCAGAGGCCCTTTTGTCAAAGACAACAGGGTCTCAAATGTTTAGCCGAAGGCGCTCTCGAGCTGAGGGCGCATCTTGGACATCCGGAAAGTGGACACAATGCTGGGCTTCTCCATGTAGTCACGTAGTCGTTCTTCGAATTGAACTCGTCATTGGCCGGTAGAGCCTCTAAAGCATCGTATGCAAAGTCCGGCACGGCACTGTCCAGCCAGCTTCTTATCTTCTTAGGAGAGGGTGGGGGCGGGGGTGGGCGGGCATTGTGCGTGAGCGAACCTTTGCCAAATCAGCTTCCGCCGCTGCCATCTTGCACATGTCATTCGGTCGTCCATCAGACAAGCGCCAAACCATGAACACGCACTTTACAGTAGCAAGCAAGCGCGAGACTGTGAGACCCGAGAAATGTTTCAGCCTTGAAAAGCGCACTTTAGCCACCATGCGGGGCCTCCGCCGTACTGTCCACATTTGCCAGCAACTTGCCTCAAGCAAAGCTCAAGCCATGGTGTTGAATCTCAACGCCAAAAGCAGAGCCATGGTGGCAAGTGCGGTAGCTGCACGAGATGGAAAGGAGTTTCCAGGAAGTGAGACGAGCCGAACATCACGATCCAGGCCCCAGTCAGCACAGCGAAGCTCGCGGCCGGCCTCTGCAGGTGCAGGTTCTTCGAATTTGTACAGCTACGATGCCTTCTTGGGTCATGCTGGCAAGAGTCCATCTCGATGGCGCGTGGCACGAACAGTTCCTCAAAGCTTCGTGGAGATAGCTGCCAGCCAACCTGTTGAGTGGCTGCATCTCAAGTGGGGCCCAAAAGAGTTCGACTTCAGAGAAGCTGGCGCGCAACTGGAGGCAGATGCACATCAAGCAGCTGCGCAAGAGGTGAAGCAAGCCCGCGATGGGAAACTCAGGCGGCGCAGAGCGGAGCAGTTCTGCAAACAGCAGAAGCAAAGCAGCAGTGGTGAACCTTGGCGACCTTGCGCGCACGGAGGACGTCAGACTGCTCTCCATCATCTTCCCGGGCGGCGCTACAAGTGTATGCCTGGGGACTCTTCCTGTGGCTTGTTCTCTGACGTTCCGTTGCTGTCCGCAACCGAAGCCAACGAAGCCCGAGCGCAAGGGAATAATCCGCGGGTGTCGCAGCGCAGCCGTCCAGCTTCTGCGCAGCCGACAACTCGGACAACTCGGAGAGCGGCCTCCTAGCCTGAAGGCGATCTCAACCTTGCAGCGCAGTGAATGTGTAGATAGCTGCAGCATGCCAGTCCCCCTACGCAGCTTTGCAAAGCATTGCTGCCACAAAATACGGAAGAGGCGCCGACAAGTCAGGAGGTAGAAGCACTTGCTTCTCACGGGCGGGTGTGTAGTTGGATGAACGATTTCTCAAGTTTGTGGCCCCATGTGCCATGCAAGGTGCTGCGCCGGAGTCATCCACAAGCGGTCATGTTATGAAAGTCCGATCGTAAAGTTAGAGATCGTGCTGGGCACTGCACAAATCGCACATGACGCCATGCTGTACTTTTTCAACATCCTCAACCAACGAGTTGTTTCGATGGCCAGGCTTACCACATGTGAAACTCACCGTTTTTCCAGGATCAGGCACCATTCTCAGATGTTCGCGACAATGGACGTCGAAATTCAGCTTTAAACTGGCATGGCCATGGAGGATTGCATCTCGCATCAGAATCAGACGGCAGAGCCCGGCAGAACCCTGTTGCGGCTTAGACTCCTCGAGATGTGAAGATGGACTTTTTCGTCCGGCTCGTAAGTCTTGTCGGTTATCTTTAGGGTTTGGGTTTTGGGTTTAGTGTTGAGGGTTTAGGGCTTCCTCAGTCCGTGCTTAAAAAGTGTTTAGGGTTTAGGGTTTTGGGTTTAAAGTTTAGGGTTACGAGCTGGCAAAGTGGGTAGTTAGCGGATCCGAGACCTTCCGTTGCCTTGCCTGCCTTGCACGAATGTAAAAAGAAAGTCAGGTTACCAGCCCCGAACCGAACCCCTAAAAAAGACCCATAAGGCCGAAACATCTCTAACCCCCGAAGCCCAAATATCAACCCCCAACATACATCCTTAGCCCCTACATGGGTGATGGAAACTCATTGGTCATAGACATCCCAAACCCCAGTATCGAGGAAGCCTAACCCTAAACCCTATAACCCTAAACCCTAAACCCCAAACCCCTTCCCAGAGATGAAGGAGATGAAGCCGCGGCGTCGCCTGGTGCGGCATCAAGCCGAAGATCTGCGCTGGTTAAAGGAAGCACTGGGCATGCCACCTGGCGCGCGGAATTGGGGGTTTAGGGTTTAACCCTCGAGCCTAAACCCCTAGTTAGAAGACTGTTCCCAGTTAGTGCCCAAAGCAAGCCTTTAACTCGCAACAGAAGACTACCGCCAATCCACTTCGGGCAAGAAACCCTCAGCCCTAAACCCTTCCACCTTTCTGAACCCACTAAAGCCTGAACCCTCTCTCTCCTCCTTTCTTCTCTCTGACTGAGTCCACACAGGCAGGGGCATGGCGGGGCGTGCGGGGGGGGCGGAGGGCGAAGAGGAACTCTTCGGGGTTGGACCACTCGGGGGGGGCCGCGCGATTGGGGGGGGAAATGCACCGATTGATGTGGAAATTCAGCGGGATGAAGGCGGGGCCGGGCGGGGACAGGTGATTCCGATTGATGTCGACGGACTTCTGAACGCCCATGATCAGCACGCCCGTGCTAGAGCGGCAATCAGTCAAGAGCGTAGTACTCTCCCCTTCCATGCTCCCTCCCCTCGCACTCTACCCCAACCGGAAGATGATGACTCGACTGTACCTGCTGAACTCCCCCCACACCCCCCCCCTACAGCGGAGCAGGCGGCTCTCGATGCTGCACTGGGCAGGGAAGAACTAACCCATCCTCCGCCGGGGGATCTGAGTCGTGCTGAAGGGTCTGCCCCAGATGCTAAGCGCCTCCGGGTTGGGGATAGGTTGCCTGAATTTGGTGGGGCGGCTTCGGGGGCTCTCGCGGTGTATCATGACCTCACACGCCAGGACGAGGAAATGCGACCTCGAAGGGGCCATACCCAAACACCCTTTCAGCCTTCGGCAGCGCCCGCCAACAAACCTTTTGGAAGGGATGACCCACCCCCCCCCTGGGTCCAGGCACTGCAACATAGCATGCAAGGTATGCTGGGCAAGCAGGACGAACTTCACCACACAGTAGGTAAACTCAGACAGGACCTGGGCACGCTTGGCACAGAGATACAACAACATGCCCATAGGCTGGATGTCATGCAGAACACCCTGCAGCAACACAACTCCCTGCATGAAGTGTCTATGGCTCGCCTGGACACCTTGGAAGCCCAGGTTCAAGAGCATGCTACACAAGCCCAGCTTCGGGATCTTGAGGCACAAGTCCAGGAACTTAAGGACCTGGAACAACGAGTTCGGGAAATTCAACACCACATCCGACAAGGAGGCACGCCTAGGGGTTCTGGCACCCCGCGCATTACGGGGTCGCCACAGGAGAATGAAATGGACCTGCAAGTTGTGGTGGGCGGTTGGAGACAAGCACCTAAACACCTTGCAGAAAAAGAAGTCAAGTCACTTTTTCGGATTTCTGATCTCCAAGACTGTCTAGGGTCGTGTTGGTCCCCCTTTGCTCGGACGAACTTCCTGCGAGTAGCGCTCAAGTTCCCTACAGATTGCGTCACTCTCCCGCAGCAAAGATCCTTCCAGATGGAAGCCCTCAAGAAGCTGCGTCGTGACAAATGGAAGAGTAGTATATCTGGTAGTGAAAATGCCGTCTTATGGATTGCTAGACATCGCTCGCTACAGGAGAGGCACAAAATTCGTGCCATACTACAGGTGAAAGACTTTTGTGATCAGCTACCCCCCCACACCCCTTCCTCCCCACATCCCCAGTCAGAATTTGACTGGCGAGGGAATGTGTACGTAGGATCCTCCCAAGTACTCATCTCCCCCAATGCCCATGCCCCACGCCACTCTCATCCAGCAGATGTTCAACTCACTGATGTCAAAGGGGGACATACAGGATGGGCATTGTCGGCAGTTCGTTTCTCGGAGGCAACAGGATATTCGCCGGACCAGCTCCCGCAGCTCTGGCTTGACTGCCGTGGCAGGACTAGAGAGTGACTAGCTCACTCCCCCAGCCCCCCCCGCCCGACTTCCTTGGCCTCTTGGAACCTTCAGGGGAAATCACTTGAGGCAGTCCAAGATGTTTGGGATGTAATGGATGTGGGACGCTTTGACTTTCTGGGATTTCAGGAAGTAGGCTCTCTGTCAGATGTAAACAGTGACAGTTGGTGTCTCAAGGAATGTACCTTGGCTGGTAAGGAATACGCCTTCTTTTGCACCTCGCCGCCGGATGCATTCCGAGGATCGGCGGTCGGAATCCCCGTGCATAGGCTCTGTGATGTAATTAATGTGCAACCGTTATCGACTGGCATCATGGTCACTCTGAAGCATGCAGGGGCAAGAGAATTTGTTGCAAGCCTACATCTCCCACATACCCAGAGGGATGATTGCATGCACGTGTGGCACCATCAAATTACAACCCTGCACGACATGCTGCATGACTACAGACTACAGGACTCCCTCCTTCTTGCGTGTGACCTTAATTACGAATTAATGCATGTTCAGCCGGATGCTCAGGACGCTAGAGGCTCGATGCTTCAGCACTTTCTTAGATCCTTTGGGACCACTCATACGACACCACATGCACATACGTGGTCTAATAGCAGAGGTTCCCACAGCAGAATAGACTATTTGTTGTTTTCCACACCCTATCAAGAGACTACGGATCAGGGAGTCGCCACCTCTTCAGACTCAATATTGAGATCAGACCATAGACTGGTATGGGTTAACCTGGTATCCCACAAGCCCTCAAAGAAACACAGACGATGTCCTCACACGAATAAATGCGGCACGTGGGATGTTGACGTAACCGCAGCACTACTAGCTTGCAATCAACTTGCAGAAAGATTGGAACAGAACCACGCGCCGATCTCACCGTTAGATCTTGAAGCTCTTGCTACGGCGAGCTCCCGTAGGCCCAAGCCGTGCAGGTATCAGGACTCCGCCTACATTCAGCAGCTGATTGCGCTCCGCAAAGGTTCAGACCCCCAGCTATCGAAAGAACTGGCGCTCCAGATAGTGCAGCAAAGATCTCAAGACAAGAGAGTCTGGAGAACTGAACTCCTGGAAAGGGCAGCGGCGGGAGACTATAAGGCTATTTCCTATTTCCGTAAACGTCAGGCTGTTCGAACGACACATGGCCTTTTCGCGCTCCGTATGGGGGGCAAGGATAGAGCGATTTCAGCATTGAAACACTTTTATCAAGTCAAATTTACTGACCCAAACAATCCTGACCCCCTCTTGCCACAAGCCATATTGCAGGCCACGTGTGTAACTCCTCCATCCCCAGCGCATCCCATTGACAAAGATGAGCTTGAAGGAGCCCTCAACACCTTCAAAGGAGGCAAAAGTGCTGGCGCTGATGGGGTCACCTACGAACTGCTGCAAATTCTAGCCCAAACCCAGGCCTCTTCCCACCTACTTCGGACCTTTAATCGGTACCTCTCCAATGAGTTGCCCCCCCCAGAAACCTGGTTCACGTCGCGTCTAACCTTACTGCCTAAAATCAAAGAACCGTGTTTGCCTAAACATCTTAGGCCCATCGTGCTGTCGGTCGCAGATTACAAACTCTTCACGAAAATTCTGCTCATCCGACTTAGACGAACCCTCCCCCCCGTAGGTGAAGGAGGACAGATCCTGGGAATTCCGGGAGCCCAGGTAATGGATGGCATCACAGCAGCTAGACATGCAGTTCACCTTGCATCGGAATGGTCCATGCCCCTTGTTGTAGCCAAGCTTGACATCTCACAAGCCTTCGACACTTTGTCACATACAGCAGTCGCTAAATATCTGGCCTCAGTCCCTGCCACACCTGAATCCATGCTCCTACTTAGGCTGGTCACACAAGCAAAGGTAGAGATTTCCTTCGCGGATGCCACCTGGAAACAACCGCTTACACAAGGCATCCTCCAGGGCACCCCATATGGTGCTGAACTGTTTGCGCGTGTTTTGGATTTCTTTCTGAAACCAGTCCTCTGTAAATGGCAACGGTGTGAGTACACTTGGCTCAGTAATACTGTAGGAAACATGCCCCTGCACTGCATGGAGTACGCGGATGACATACTCATCTTTGCTACGTCTATTCCACAGTTGAACCGTATGCTGGAGGATCTTTCGCGGACCCTCCAAGCCATAGGACTGCACCTTTCATGGGAGAAATGCAAATACCTGCGATCACCACAGGTGCCATCAGGCCCCGTCTCAGCTGGGGAGGGACCCCAACTGGAAGAAGTGGAGACCTTTCTCTACTTGGGTGTCCTCCTAGGCTTTCGATTAACTTGCCAAGCTGTTCTGGCAGCCCGACTGGTCCAAGCCACTAACGCCTTCTTTGGGTATCTCTCTTTCCTTACGCAATGCTCAGCCCCATTGTGTAAAAGGCTTCACCTGATGTCAACATTTGTAACTAGCCGCTGGCGATGGATGTCCGCGGCAGTCAGGCCCACGACAGCAGTACATCAATCCCTGAAGGTCACCCAAACTAATTTCCTTGTTTGGATATGTAAATTCCCACGTGATTCTCTTCAGGCCGTCACTGATAGCTGGGTGTGTGTGAGAAGAGCAGCAAGGATGGCGGCACAGGCGACAGGACATGAAACATGGACGCATATACAGACCCAAAGCTTTTTCTTACTGGGGTCATGCTGCCAGACTCCCCAACCCACAAGTCCGACCGATCTCGAAAGCCCTCAGCATACGAGGCTCATCGTGGCAACTCCTGAATGTTGCACAACAGCGTAGGGCACCGGGGTACTGGCCTAACTGCAGCCGTTGGCTCCACCTTGCCTGGCAGGACCATCGTAAGGCAGGTCAGCCTATCACTTGGGAAGGAGCTGCGCAGAACAGACTCATATGGAAACAGTTCACTGAAGACTATCTCCGCAAGAAGAATGTCGCTCCCGAATTCTACCCAATTCTGGCTCATGTAGACCTCCGAGGCAGGGCGCTCAGCAGAGTGGGTGGGGACTTCCACCTCCTTCCCATGCGACACCCTCCGGTTGAAACCCCTTATGTAACAGCGTACATAGAACACCCTGAATTGACCCCCGAAGATGTGGAGGATGCCATACGAGTATCCACCGATGGTAGCTGTATGGCAGGACAGGGAGGAGCGGCAGCAGTCATACTCCCCCCCTATGGGGAC